GGCTAAGACTGCTTTCATTTAGAAAAGAGGGTTTCAAGGGCAGGGATGGGTAGGTTTTTGAAAAACAACAACAGAGATGGCCTAGAAATGGGATAGACTCATTTGCAAAAGATACTTATTACTCTCAAAACTATAATTTCAACGACTACTCACCTTTAAAGATATGGAAAATAGTACCACAATTTAGTAGTTGTGTCCATTCGTTGTAAAAGTGTGCAATGTTGGCGCTAAGATCACTGTGTGTCTTTGTGTGTGTGTGAGAGTGTGTGTGTGTGTGTCTGTGTGTATGTGTGTCTGTGTGTATGTGTGTCTGTGTGTGTCTCTGTGTGTGTGTATGTGTGTCTGTGTCTGTGTGTCTCTGTGTGTGTCTCTGTGTGTGTGTCTGTGTGTGTGTGTGTCTGTGTGTGTGTGTCTATGTGTGTCTGTGTGTGTCTGTGTGTGTGTCTGTCTGTGTGTGTCTGTGTGTGTCTGTGTGTGTGTGTGTCTATGTGTGTGAGTGTGTGTGTAGGTCAGAAGACAACCTTGAACATTGGTCCCCAGGTGCCTTCTACCTTTTGATTGAGACGGTCTCTCATTGGCCTGGAACTTTGCCAAGTAGCCAAAGCTAACCAGTCCACGAACTTCAGGGAATTCTCCCGTGTCTGCCCTCCACATCACTGTCTGGAGAACTCCAGAAAACCCTCGAGTGCAACTGTGAACATTTCATGTCAGCAGAAGAGGAATAGAGGTGCCAATCTGAACCCAGCAAACGATGCCCCCCTGATTTGCTTTAGAGAAATGCAGTTCTGTGAGCTCTGTAGAGCCAACGTGCGTATATGAAGTACCAAGTGCACACTCAGAGTCTCGTGCACACTGGTAGGCTCACCCTCGTGCGCAGAGTCAGATGTGCACACATGTGATTCTGACTTTGGGTTGCGTTTGTGATTCAGACCTCCATGTGCTCAATGATGTCACTCAGGACAGAGACAGGGAATGGGGTTTTGTTGGCAATGGCCAGGTACCAAGCACCATGGTTTTGCCTGAGGCAAAAGATAAGGAGCATTTATAGTGGGCTGCTAGACAGCAGATAGATTTCAAAGAGTTCTTAGAAAGGAGAATCAAAGCTCCTACACTGGGCCTGGGGCTGTGGAGGGAAACGTCCCAGAGCGAGAAACCAGAGGTCAGGGGATGGAAGGGCCAGTCCATGGCCTCGGGAAGACGGAGTTAGCGGCAGACAGTACAGCGTCAACACCACGGCCGGGGCTGTGTCCAGTTGGCACAGTGCCGCCCGGGAGTTTGTGAGCTGTGTTCAGCCCACAACACCACATAAATGAGATGCTGTGGTGGGTACTTGTAATCACACCCCTTGGGAGGTGGAGGCCGGAGGACCAGAAGTTCGTATTCCTCTCTGGCTACATCAGACTCAAGGCCAGCCTGGGCTACATGAGGGCCTCATGCTCAAAATCTAAGATACCCACCCCATGTCAGCGATTATCTGTAACTGTAAATATTCAGACCTCTTTCATACAAGGCGAACTTGATAGTAGCCCTAGACTAGACACCTTCTACATTTCCTCTTGGTGGGGGAAAGAGTCACCATGCTTTGTGGAAATGTGTTTTATAAATCTGGGTGTGAACTCACGCAACTATGTGATCTGACTTTTTAAAATAACCCCAGCTCTAGTTCCCAGTGATCCATGAGATGGCAGATTGTAACGTGTATTCTTCCCGCCAGCCTGGTCCCAATGTCGCGTCAGTCCCAAATGAACACCAGGACACTATATTGATTGTGAAGCCGTTGGCCGTTTGCTATTGTTTCTCATTGGCTAGCTCTGACTTAATTATTGACCCATAATTACTAATATATACGTTCATGAGGACTTACCGAGAACGCAGACTTGCATCCCCTCTTCTGGGAATCACTCTCTTCACTGCATTTCCCAGAATCCTCCTGGACTCCTAGTCCCACCTATCTTGCTTCCCTATTGGCCGACAGGGCTTTATTTACATATACAACAGGACTTCCCCATCAGCAGATAAAGTGTCAATTGGAAAGACTAGAAACAACAGCAGCGTGTGCCCGGCTCAGCACCGTCGCTAAGGAACACAGCAGTGAGAGCCATCCAAGACCAAGTGTTTGGTTCCAGCTGTCTGGGATGGGGCAGGCTGTCTGTCTGCCTGATGTCTTTTCAGTCCTGACCTACCAGTTTTGCCAGCTCCTCCCACCGTTCCCAAAGCCAGGCAACTGTGCTTGGGACACTGGCCCAGGAGCTGCCTTTAAGACAAGGCTATGAAAACTGGTAAGGGGCTAGCCTGGAGAACACCAGGTCTGTAAGAACGGCGCTCACTCAGGAGGCTTCTGGGTAGGGACGGGCTGAGTGGAAAGGCAGGCTCAGAGGGTTTGCCCTGTTCCGTTAGGGCAACTTCAGGTTCTCATGGAAAACTCAACAGACCAGTCTTCTAAAATTCCACCCGAGACCGAAAAGAAGGATCTCTCCACTCTTTTTCCCTTTGAAGTGGTGTCTCACCTGGACTCTACGTCATACACGTGGGGCTGTGTATGGATCTGCTAAGGGGCACGGGTCTACAGTAACGCTACACTGAGCATCAGTGAGGGGGGTGTCAATGGGGGCAGCCCCTAATCAGTCACCCGGCCATCAGAGAACACAGGCCCTCCATTCTGAGCTGGGGTTCTTCCAGAGAATTTTGTCCCGTGTATCAAATTATCCTGGAAGGCTACCAAGTCCCGCCCCTTTATTTAAAAGTGTTAAATTGGGGCTCTGATGATGTTAGAGACTGGAGGAAAAGCCAGGCAGCCAGTAGCAGTTTTACAGTGAGAAAATCAAATTGCTCCCCAGTTCGGAGCCAGGGGAAGAATCATGCCATTGTGCAGGTTACTTAAAATTCCACACTGCCTGCACCATTTGGCCCCCAAATGCTAAGAGTCTGCAGTTGTTGCTCCCAGGGGAGGCTTCTAACTGGGGCAGCGAGCGCCACTCCACACAGCTGTTGCTAATTTGAAATGGAGCGTTTTAATTGCCTTTGTGTCGAGATTTATTAAATAGCATTTCCGAGGGGGCAAGCCTGTAATAGTCATATTAGTAGGGGGCCGAAAGAAGGCAGTAATTGGAGCATAGCGTCTCTGCCTTGGAAGGCAAGTTGGAAAATATCTTTTCCACGTGACCAGCCCCACCAGCCATGCCGGGGGAGAAGAGTTTCCAGGTAAACACAAGCCACAGGAGAAGTCCTGTGGCCTCCCAGAGCTCAGCTGTGAACCCCTTAGTCATTTACCTAGAAGCACTTCTCCCTCTGAGTGTCTCTTGTCCCTGTGCCCTCTCTTGTTAGTGTAGCTGGGAACCAGAGTCACTGCTCAGAGCGGATGTGGCATCAGTGGTTAGCTGCTGCTGTGGCAGTCTGCCTGGTCCCTGCCGCCTTCTCTAACTGCTGTTATCCTCATCTGGCCCATCCGTGCAGTGCTGTGGGGTGTCTCCCCCCCCCCCACACTTGGCTGAAAGCAGCTCACTGGATGAGCAGAGGACAGCACACGTGTATCCTTCCTGGCTTGTCTGCCAGAGCAAGGGAGGGCTCTTGAGAGGCCCCTGTGCTGAAGTGGTCAGGGGCTGGCATCCCTTAACAGTGAGCTCCACTGCCCAAGACGGCTGTGACTCAGGCCAGAATCTCAATTGTGTTTTGCATTTTTATTTCAAATATTCTCTTTTCGGGAAGCTGTGATTGGGAGGCACAGACGAGCACCAATTATGGACACACACAAACACACACACACACACACACACACACACACACCACACACCAAATCAATAAAATAAATATAGTTTAATTTTCCTCTGAGAGGAAAGAAAGGACCAGGCATTTGAAGCTGAGAACCGGAAAGATGAACGGCCCAGGCCCTTCGGGAGGAACCAGTCTGAAAAGATTTGTAACCGTATAGGAAAACCGTAAGGGAGGCATGAAGAAGGCGGGACGCGGGAGGGGACGGATGATGGCACGGGTGTCTCCTGGCTCTGGATCACGTCGGCACCCTTCCCACACGCAGGGGCCAGAGTTTTCCTATCTTCCCGCGCAGTTACACCTTCGCCTTTCAGTGGAACCACCCTCACCGACTCCACGGGGTCCTTTAAAGCCGGAAGAGTAATTCAGAGCCCCGTGTTGCTCTTCTGGCCCCTGCGTGTGGGAGGGTGCCGACGTGATCCAGAGCCATGAGACACCCGTGCCATCATCCGTCCCCTCCCGCGCCACGCCTTCTTCATGCCTCGCTTATGGTTCTCCTGTGTGGTCGCAAACGTTTGAAAACACGAGCAACAAGCAACACCTTCTGAAAATTAACAGCAAGGTTTTCTTAAGAATTCACCAAGTGCAGGCTGGAGAGAGGGCCCAGAGGTTAAGAGTACTGGCTGCTCTTCCAGAGGTCCTGAGTTCAATTCCCAGCACCCACAGGGTGGCTCACAACCATCTGTAATGAGATCGTCTGCCCTCTTCTGGCCCGCAGGCAGAACACTGTATATATAATAAGTAAATAAATCTCTTTTTAAAAAAGAGTGAGGTACTGAAGCAACCCCATACCACCGTGTGTCAATATGTGATTTAAAAAAAAAGAATTAACTAAGTGCAGGATACTGTGGCCATTGTCTGCCCCTGGAAGGTCCTGTGCCCCAGGAAAAGTCTGCGTGCTCCTGTCTCCAGGCCATGCAGAGGGCTGAATCCCCCGTCCGCCCCCCACACGCACAACATATACTCGTTTTGTCTCCTCTGCAGAATCTAGATTTCACATACATATTACACGCAAGCAGAAAGTTGACCGTTAGAGAAGAGGAGGGGACCAGTGTTGAAGGGGTGTGAGAGGGGCAGTGAGTCTGACCAGAGCACATGATAAACATACATGAAATGTCATCATGAAACCATTATTTCATACAATGCATATCCACTAGAAAAAAATAATTGTTACGTCCCCAAAAGGGAGGCAATGGGCTTGAGATGCACGCCTGACATGTCTCCTTCCCAAGGTGGCCCTGGCTCTGGCAAAGGCACCCAGTGTGAGAAACTGGCAGAAAAATACGGATTCACTCAGCTGTCTACTGGTGAGCTCCTGCGGCAGGAACTGGCCTCAGAGTCGGAGAGAAGCAGACTGATCCGTGACATCATGGAACGTGGAGACCTGGTGCCCTCGGTAAGCAGAGACCACCCTGCTCTCCCTGGCAGCCAAGCCCTTGACAAGGAAACCTTGAGGGCCAGGGAACAGCTTTGGTTTCCCTCCGTGGTGGCAGTCCTGAGGTGGGCTGGCTAACGCCGACGGCCACTGGCCATCCAAGCTGTTCCTTGGCCGGTTGCTTAAATGTCAATGTGATTCATGTGTTTCCCAAAACGGCCTCACTTCAGAGTACAATCTTCACACCCCGGGTGTATGGAAAGTTAAATGAGAAAACCCAAGGGAACAAATCTCTCGGAGTGGGGACGTACTGTCCACACGACGGACTCTAGACTCACCCAGAAGGCGTTCCTATGAACAGAGTGGCCTGTGGAGGTTAGGCAAGAAGACACAGCTGGAGCGGGGAACCCTTGCCCTAGCAGCCTCTCCATTGCTGTGATAGACACCAGGACCGAGGGCAGCTTATGGGTGGGAGCAGTTCATCTGGGTCACAGGTCACACTCCATCGCTCAGGAAGGCCTAGGAAGAAACCCAAGAGGCAGGGACACAGACCACAGGGGAAGCCTAGGGCTGGCTCACTCCCTAGTTAGCTCTCTCTTCTGTAACCCAGGCCTGCCTGCCAGCAGGAGCACATACCTGCCTAGGGCGGGGCCCTCCCACAGCAGTCCACCATCAAGGCCCCCACAGACACGCCCACAGGCCAATCTGATGGAGGCCACTCCTCAGTTAACGTTCCTTCTTCCCAGGTATGTCTAGGCTTATGTCAAAAAGCAGCCAGCACGGTCATGGGCTGTGTAAGATGGAGAAACCAAGCTAAGCAGCAGCGTATAGTCACCTCTCAGTGTTTGTTAAGGATGCATGGTGGGGTGTGTGTGTGTGTGTGTGTGTGTGTGTGTGTGTGTCTCTGTATATATGTGTGTCTGTGTGTGTCTCTGTATGTGTCTGTGTGTCTGTGTCTGTGAGTGTGTCTGTGTGTCTGTATGTGTGTGTGTGTGTGTGTGTGTGTGTGTGTGTGTGTGTGTGTGTGTGTGTGTGTGTTTTCGAGGCCAGAGGAGGGTGTTAGGTGTCTTCCTCTACTGCTCCCCACCTTGGCTTTTGAGAGAGAGTCTCTCACTTGCAGCTCACCTTTTGGCCGGCCTGGGTGGTCACAGAGATCTGGGATCCACTTTGTCTCTGCTCCCAATGCTGTGGGTGACGGCTGTGCCTGGCTTTTTAATATGGGCACCAGGGAATCTGAATTCAGGGCCTCGTGTTTTCATAGCAAGTGCTCTTACACCCTGGGCCTTGTCCTCACCCGCCAAAACTTCTGTATCCCTCAAAACTTTTTATGTCAGGGCCTCCCCCCCTCACTGCCTTCACGGGGCTGCCTTCCCGTGTGGCGTCCTCCTCCCTCGTCAGGGCAGCCCCATCGCCCATTCTCTGCACGTCTGCTCCCTGCAGAGCTCTGCCTCCATGGCACAGCTTACCAAAGGGGCCACCCTGTGGCAAGCGGCGCCCCTGGTGTGCTCCAGCCCTTTGCCCTGCTCTGACTACACTGTTGTCCTTAAGCTGCCCTGAATTCTTTACTCCTTGTTGTCTGTCTTCCCGTTAGATTGTGACCTTGATGAGGAATTAATTCACAATCATCTAGGGAAGGGTTCCAGCCATACCTGTGACATCTGCATCCCCGCCCCCACCCCCAGGCTCCTGCTAAAAAACAAAACTAGAGAATTCGCACTTGCCCACCTCCTCCCACGGGCCCTGCCCCATGCCGCTCCCCCACGCGGCTCCCCCAGCTTCCGGCTCCCTTCCCTCCTTCCTTCCTCCCTCCCTCCCTCCCTTCCCTCCTTCCTTTCTTCCTTCCTCCCTCCCTCCCTCTCTCCTTCCCTCCTTCCTTCCTCCCTCCCTCCCTCCCTTTCTTCCTTCCTTCCTCCCTCCCTCCCTTTATCCTTCCCTCCTTCCTTCCTCCCTCCCTCCCTTTCTTCCTTCCTTCCTCCCTCCCTCCCTTTATCCTTCCCTCCTTCCTTCCTCCCTCCCTCCCTCCCTTTCTTCCTTCCTTCCTCCCTCCCTCCCTTTCTCCTTCCTTCCTTCCTTCCTTCCTCCCTCCCTCCCTCCCTTCCTTCCTTTCCACAAACACTTGTTAGATCAATCTTCTTAGTGGGGAGATCATGTTGCTAGACAATAGTCCTCTGCAGTTAGCACGCGTCAAGTTTTGCATACTGCTTCCTGGGGGGGGGCATCAGCTGTGGAGTGTGTTCTGAGCAATTTTCATTCGCCTCTAATCTGCCATGCCTTGTTCCTTCAGTTGCTACTGGGGGCGGGTGGGGTTAGCACCACTCATGGGGTGTAAAATGCTGGTTTGAAAGCCTTCAAACGTAGTTACATAACAGCAGTAAGGACAGATCAGTAAGAAGACCCCTCGCCAATGGAACCATGCATGGCCCAGCCCCGACTGAAGGACCCACCCACACTATCGACATTAAGGTTGGGGGGTGGGTCTCACGAAGGCTGGCCCAAGAGATCTGCTGTTAATCTTGCCCAGTGCCCCCTTCAGGGAAGAACGTCTGAGGAATCGCATACATGGTGAATTGGGGGTTGCGGCCAGGCCCTGTGCTGACCACTCTTTCTGCTGTAGGGTGTCATCCTGGAGCTGCTGAAGGAGGCCATGGTGGCCAGCCTGGGCAACACCAAGGGCTTCCTGATTGACGGCTACCCCCGGGAAGTGAAGCAAGGGGAAGAGTTTGGACGAAGGGTGAGCCGTTGTTAAAAGACCATCGCTCAGCTTAGGGGACAAGTTCAAAGCCTTCATTTGCCCAGTAACACTGACCACATCTTTCCATTATAGAGAGCAGAAACTTCTTTTTAAGATGAAAATAGGGCAAGAATGGTCTGAGGAGTAAGTCGAGGTCAGGCTTGGCTGGGTTTTAGGTGGAGAACTACACTTGTTCGACTCATTCTGACCATGTCTCGATTTTCCACCTTTGGGTTGCCCATTCTCTCCTAGTTCAGGCTTATCGTCCCCTCCCCCGTTTCGGTGGCCTCACAGGAAACTGTTCATGTTTGGGGGCGCTGGATGTCCCACACAAGACCCCAGGCTATTCCTTCTTACTGAATCACTGTGCCGGGGACAGAAGAGAATCTGCTGACAGGACCAACCCAGGGGAGCCAGCAGGGGGCAGGCGACACTCTATCTGAGCCACTCAGCCTGAGACAGCAAGGCATTCACCCCCTGGGGGAACAGGGATGAGCATACCCAGAAGACTGGGAGAGATGCTGCAGGAGCATCTCTCCCTTCCCAACCCTTTGTCATCCCTAACCTCGTGTCCTCCTGGGGAGGTGAGTGGCTCAGGGCTGCCGGGTCTTCACAGCAGCTGGGGGGGGGGGCTGACCTGCGGGGGGGGGGGGCCGGGCCCGAGGCACACACCGACCGCCTTGCCCAAGACTCCTTCAGTCCAGAAGGAAGCAGTAGAGCAGGTTTGTTACAGGAAGACATTTGTTACAGAAGGTTCTGTAACAAGAAAGCCGTGGGTCTTGGCTGCTGTTTGGTTCTGCTGTGTTTCCATCTGAATTCCTTCTAAGAGTTTCTAGGTAGATAGGGAAAAGAAAGGCCCTCGAGCTAAGGCAATGGATTGAGCAGAGGTTTGGTGGCTTGCCCATGGCCACACAGCTGGTGACAGCTGATGACAGGACAAAGATTTGGGGGCACCCAATCCGTCCCCTTCTACCACTGACCCACTAACCCTTGGGTTTCGCCTGCCCTTGAGTCCGCTTTGTCTAACATCCTCCAGGGGTCCCCCCCTACCTGTCCCCCTCTTAAATAGAGAGTCGAAGGACTAGAGAGATGGCTCAGTAGTTAAGGACACTTGCTGCTTTTTGTAGAGGACCCGAGTTTGGTTCCTAGCAACCCCACAGGGCCTCACAATTGCCAGCAACTCGGTTACAGGGTACCCACCTCCCGCTCTGGCCTCCACGTGCACCAGGCATACGCATGGTGTTCATCGTGGAAGCAAACAGGCACACACATACGCATACTCCATAAGATGAAAATGGAATGAATATTTAAAAAAAATAGAGTCGGAGAAAAGCGTCATGGCCCAGTTGACAGCGGTGGACAGGGGCGGTGGCCAAGCCCCGTGGCAGCGTCCGTAAACACATGCAAGCGACCACGGCAAAAACAAGGGAGTGTACGGGCAGGGTGACTGTAGCTGGCTTCTGAGTGACGAGCAGTGACAGTGTCACAGCTACCTTCGCCGAGGCAGAATGAGTATCAGCGCAGGTCAAGCTCCTGCCTAGGTGTTCAGGGTGTAGACGTCTTTCAAAAAACGCGTTCGGAGGTGATAGGACACTCTCGGACATGTTGTAAATAAGGGCAGCTTTCACTCCCCCTCCCACCCCAGGTGAAAGCAACAGCAAAATTATAACCTGAGTTCTTCATTTGGAGTTTGGAAAGCTAGGTCCGATGGCAAGTCCCAGCGTGGATTTGCCCATGGAGTTACAAGCTAGGCCAGGCGCCAGTGGGGACCCGAGGAGACACAGGCATAGCCAACCAGCGGCCCACGGGCCACATCCCAGGATTGCTATGGATGTAGCCCAACGCGTTTGCAGATGGTAGCGTTGTGCCGCAGTTCAAATGCTGTGATGCCCCTGGATGTCTTCCCATGGCGGCATCCTTACATTACATCATTCCTCCACCCTGGGGGGTCGGCTGCTGTGGGGGAGCACAGACAAGGCACCGAGCTTTTCCCTCGTCTCCCACACAATGTCCCTGCCTAGGACCCGGGCGGGCGGTGTGGGCTCCAGGCTCACTCTGGGAATTCCCTCCCGCTGTGGGCCCTGGCTCGCCCTGCCAGTCCTCACGAGCTGGAAGTGTCTCACCGGTGGCTAGAGCTCCGGTGCCACTGAGCCAGTCGCCTCCAAGGGAGGGACGTGTCTGTTTCTTTCCCTGTGCTGCTAGGAGTATAACAGCTTCAGCGGCTCCCAGTGCCCGATAAACGTGTGTGCGCGCACGAGCCCACACACGGAGCCCCCCAAAGTGAGTGCTCGCCTCAAATTTGAGTAGAACAAAGACGGCGCCCACTCGGGGAGGCTCTTGACATGAGGCCCATGAGAAAGCAATTTCCTCAAATATTAAAAGCATAAGAAAGTTAAGAGGCCGGAAAGATGACTCAAAGGCTACGGGGGCTCGTTCTTCTTCCAGAGGACACACTCCTTCCGGTTGCTGGCACTCACAGGCTCACAGCCACGAGGAACTGTAGCTCCAGGGCATCCGACCCCCACCCCCACCCCTGCCTCTTCTGGCCTCTGATAGCACCCACACCACCTGTGGCACACATATATACATACACATAGACAAAAAAAAAAAAGAAATCACTTTGAATGTGTGGGTAGTGATTAAAATGCTGTCATATAATCAAAACACGGTGTATGGAATTCCCAAAGAATTGACAAAAATTTTAAGGAAAAAAATGTATGTGAGCGGCTCAGGTCACTTCCAGATATGGTTACTGTGTGCCAGCTGTCTTCATGGGAACAGGAGAGCGAGTGAGGCCAAGCCTGCCGTTCGCGCCCGAGGGAAAAGACTGGGCAGGGAGACTCTTAGACCACTCGCTGTGAGGCTCGTTACCATGTTACCATCCATGTTACCATGGACGCCGCTAGCATGCAGACACTGGTTCAACATCAGGTGCTATGCCCTAGAGACTCTACTCCTAACCTCGCGCTGGCCTCCCCACCCAAGCGGCTTTGGCGACTGGAGTACCTCTCCGCTGGCTCTTGCTCTTTCAGGGCTAGCTCCAGGTTAGGCAGAAATAACCCGTTTATGACTAAATGAATCCCTGAGCTGTCTTTCCTACTCCCAAGAGCAGCCTGGCAGACGACACTCCTCCTGAGCTAACTGAACCACCATCTGCCTCCCAAGCTCGCCCTCTGCTGGCGAACCTGGTTGTTTTCTCGGGCTCCCTGGCCCTCACCTAGCCATCACGTGCAAAGGAGCTGTTGAGGGCCAATTTATACTGCAGATTTCAGAGCAGGGCAGCCAACGCTCCACAGACCTGGCTGCATGCCAGGCAGTGCGCCACAGTGCCCTGCTTAACCCTCCCAGCGAGCCTGTGGTCTCCTCACGGTCCTCATGGGATTCAAGATGCAGCCACGTTAGGCGGGATTTCTAGGAAACGTCCCGGCCAGGCGATTAAAAAGGACAGTTCGTTTTTTTACCTCTCATAGTTCTGCAGTTCTGTGGGCTCCGCTCTCCCACGAGGGCCCCAGGATTTAAGAGTCGGAGACTGGATAAAGCTGGGCATATGTTGGGAGCCGGCTAGCCTGGCATTTCTACTCACGTGTCCTCTCCGGCTGGCTGGCTGAGAGTGTCTCACTGTTTGGTGTTGTCAGAGTAGCTGAACATCATAGAAAATAGCTGGCTTCCCCTATACTGAGTATTATACAAGACGAGACAGAAATTGTGGTTTCTTCTGGTAAAATTATATGTACACCAAATGTCTCAGAATTAATTTCTTTATAATTTATTATCAGCAAATTTTAATTTGTATGGCTATTTTAAATATATGTACCCCAGAAGTAGTGTAAAAATTACTCAGGCAGATCAGGGCCTCATGGGTGGAAACAGTTTAGGAGGCCCCCCTCACATCTAAAAGCTGGTAACCTCGTTCCAACGCCCTTCCATTGCCCCAGAGTTATAGGAAAACGCAGATCCGAGGGCGCATTCCCCCGGAGTTACAGAGAAACACAGACTCGAGGGCACATTGCCCCAGAGTTACAGAGAAACACAGACTCGAGGGTGCATTGCCCCAGAGTTATAGGGAAACACAGACTCGAGGGCGCATTGTTCCAGAGTTATAGGGAAACACAGACTCGAGGGCGCATTGCCCCAGAGTTATAGGGAAACAGACTCTGGGGCGCATTGCCCCAGAGTTACAGAGAAACACAGACTCGGGGGCGCATTGTTCCAGAGTTATAGGGAAACAGACTCAGGGGCGCATTGTTCCAGAGTTATAGGAAACACAGACTCGAGGGTGCATTGCCCCAGAGTTATAGGGAAACAGAGACTCGAGGGCGCATTGTTCCAGAGTTATAGGGAAACAGACTCGGGGGCGCAGAGGACTGAGCTCAGTATCTCAGTGGAAGAACAGCTTTTATGTGAAAGGTGGCAAGGGTTGAAACTGGTCACACCAGACTCTGGTCCTGACTGCCCGACTCCAGTCTGCACCTGCTTTGGCAACTGCGCTCCCCAACTTCATGGAATACACACCCAGCAGGGGTTTCTTGGTGGCTGGGATAAGATGAAGACGGGATTATCAGGTCAGGGAGACCTTTCCACAGGGAACAACAGGCACATACATGCACGCACTTGTGCACACACACACATCGCACACATGCACCTGCACACGCACATACACACACACACACACACAGGCATGCCCAGGCACACGTGCATACGCACACCCTTCCCCCGAGTTTAAAGGACAGCTTACAATTGCTGCATTATGTGAAGTGACCAGAAAGCCGAACAAAACAGAGCTCTGAAGCAGCAGGTGGTGAGGGTCACTCCGGAAATAAGAAGCCAGGAGGGCCAGTGTCACCTCACAGGGTCCAGTGTCATCTTGAGGTCCAGTCTCATCTCTAACACCATGTGGCGCTGGGCGCTTGCGAGGCACCAACATCCCCAGGAGTGGAAGGCTCCCAGACCTTCTCTACAGTTCCAGCTGACCATGCTCTGCCTTCTCCTCCCTCACCCCAGATCGGAGACCCACACCTGGTGATCTGCATGGACTGTTCGGCAGACACCATGACCAACCGCCTTCTGCAGAGAAGCCAGAGCAGCCAGCGCGGGGAGGACACCGCCAAAACCATTGCCAAGCGCCTGGAGGCCTACCACCGAGCGTCCATTCCTGTCATCGCCTACTACGAGACAAAGACGCAGCTACGGAAGGTGAGTCTCTCACACGGGCTGCTTGCCCTTCCCTCTCCCAAGAAGAGAGGGAGAAGAGGCCAGCTTCCTTGGGAGATCCGGGGGAGCCGCAGGGTGGAGACTGAACCTGCCTTCTTCCCTTGCTACTGACTCGAAGTTGAACACGTGTGAACGGAAGAGGAGGTCCGGCCATGGTGGTGGCGCACACCTTTAATCCCAGCACCCAGGAGGCGGAGGCAGGTGGATCTCTATGAATCTGGCCAGCCTGGTCTACATAGCAAGTTCCAGGCTAGCCAGGGCTATATAGAGAGAACCTGGCTTTAAAAAAAAAGAAGCAGAGTATCTGTGGTCAGACGGCTGTGGAAGTTGGTCATTAATTAGCTTAATTAGCGGCAGGTGCTGTTGTAGTCGCTGACACTTACTTCTCCAGAAGACAGACAGCAAGTGCAGAGCTTAGAGCACACGCCTGCAACCCCAGCCACTGGGGAGGCTGAGACGGAAGGAGCTCATGTTCAAGGCCTGCCTGGGCAGGTTTCTGACCCTCTGTTTCCAGGTAACTGGCCTGAGGACCTGGGGATACAGTTCAGTGGAGCACTCACCTAACAGCACGAGGCCTGGGGAGTGCTCACCTAACATGCATGAGATATGGGGAGTGCTCACCTAACAGCATGAGGCCTGAGGAGTGCTCACCTCACAGGGATGAGATATGGGGAGTGCTCACCTCACAGTCATGAGATATGGGGAGTGCTCACCTAACAGGCATGAGATATGGGGAGTGCTCACCTAACATGCATGAGATATGGGGAGTGCTCACCTCACACTCATGAGGCCTAGGGAGTGCTCACCTAACAGGGATGAGGCCTGGGGAGTGCTCACCTAACAGGGATGAGGCCTGGGGAGTGCTCACCTCACACTCATGAGATATGGGGAGTGCTCACCTGACAGGGATGAGATATGGGGAGTGCTCACCTCACACTCATGAGATATGGGGAGTGCTCACCTGACAGGGATGAGATATGGGGAGTGCTCACCTGACAGGGATGAGATATGGGGAGTGCTCACCTCACAGGGATGAGATATGGGGAGTGCTCACCTAACAGGGATGAGGCCTGGGGAGTGCTCACCTCACACTCATGAGATATGGGGAGTGCTCACCTCACAGGGATGAGATATGGGGAGTGCTCACCTCACACTCATGAGATATGGGGAGTGCTCACCTGACAGGGATGAGATATGGGGAGTGCTCACCTGACAGGGATGAGATATGGGGAGTGCTCACCTGACAGGGATGAGATATGGGGAGTGCTCACCTCACAGGGATGAGATATGGGGAGTGCTCACCTCACAGGGATGAGATATGGGGAGTGCTCACCTCACAGGGATGAGATATGGGGAGTGCTCACCTCACAGTCATGAGATATGGGGAGTGCTCACCTCACAGTCATGAGATATGGGGAGTGCTCACCTCACAGGGATGAGATATGGGGAGTGCTCACCTCACAGGGATGAGATATGGGGAGTGCTCACCTCACAGGGATGAGATATGGGGAGTGCTCACCTCACAGTCATGAGATATGGGGAGTGCTCACCTCACAGTCATGAGATATGGGGAGTGCTCACCTAACATGCATGAGATATGGGGAGTGCTCACCTCACAGGGATGAGATATGGGGAGTGCTCACCTAACAGGCCTGGCTTCAATCTCCAATACTGAAACAAACATGGGAAGGGAGGCAAGCTGAAATGAGAGTTCTACTACCAACGGTAGGTGGCGCTAGACCTCAGCTATATAGGACGGGCCAAAGGCCGGACTCTTCTAGATCCTGGATTTAACACCTTTGGATTCTGGAGTCACACAGGGCATGACGGGCACTTGGCTCTCGCCGCTCTTTTAGAAGACCTGGGTTCGATTTCTAGCACCTACATGGTGCACGGATATACAGGCAGGCAATACAACCGTACACAGAGATAAAAAAAATTAAAGAAATCCAGGGCTGCAAGAACCTTCGTAAGGCTAGATGACCTGGGAAGCGTCCCCACGTTGTGCTGCCTGGGACAGCCGAGGAGTTGCCCAGGTAGGAGAGACGTCTTCCTCTGGAGGAAGCTGGACGGAATTTAGCTTATCACATTTCAGAATCAGAAAATTCTGCCCCCACCCCTCGAATTATCTGAATGTAGACCTGCAGACTCAGGTGACCGGCTCAGTGACACTGCATTCGCAGGCCTTAAACGATTCTGTGTTACTGTCCAAGAAGTCGGGTCCTCAGGCCTCTCCGGCTGAGCTCTCAGGCTTCGGGGATGCTGGCGGATCCACAGAGGAGTGAGCGTTGACAGTGGACACCAGGGAACACAGGGGCGACACTGCCTGGTTCCACTGCCTCACCAGGTCCTCTGCGCACACGGCTGCTGCCAAATTTTACAACTCCAAGCCGAACACGTATGTGTGACACGGAAATAACGCATGGCTTCCGCTTTCCTGTGTTAGAATGCAAAGCGGGAGCCGCGCCGTGGGTTTCTCCGTTCCGTCTGCGTTTCTGCAGGCGGCTGCTGTCAACCTCAGAGAGGTGAGCTAGCCCAAGGGCGGAGCGCTAGTCCACATGCATTTACCCTGTAAGTAGCGGGGAGTGGAGCATTTGTGAAAAGGCCCAGCACTGAGCTAACCCTGCTGGGATCACTGGCCTGGGTGTCCAAACCCTGGGTGGAAAGTCGCAGGCCGGCCAGACTCGGGAACCTGGGCGAGTCGTCTTCCTTCCAGAGCTTTCTGATATAAAGTGGGCCGGCAGCAGCCGCTAGAATTCTTGCAGGCCCTTAGTCTGCAATTCCTAGAGGGGGAAAGTTTTCTCCACTAGTTTAAAGGGACACAAGCTCGTTATTGAAAATCTAGAAAACCCCTTCCTGAGTCCCACCACCCGCCCAGGGTGAACACTCTATAGAGCGTGGACTGCAAGAGGCGTGGCCTGGACATGGTGGGGGGCGTGGCCACTGGGCATGGTGGGGGCGTGGTCACTGGGCATGGCGGTGGGCGTGGTCACTGGACATGGTGGTGGTGGGCGTGGTCACAGAACATGGCCTGGACATGGTGATGGGCGTGGTCACTGACATGGTGGTGGGCGTGGCCACTGGGCATGGTGACGGGCGTGGTGACTGGACATGGCGGTGGGCGTGTCACTGGGCATGGCCTGGACATGGTGGTGGGCATGGCCACTGGGCATGGTGACGGGACGGGCGTGGTCACAGAACATGGTGGTGGGCGTAGCCACTGGGCACGGCGGTGGGCGTGGCCACTGGACATGGCGGTGGGCGTGGCCGCTGGGCATGGTGACGGGCGTGGTGACTGGACATGGCGGTGGGCATGTCACTGGGCATGGCCTGGACATGGTGGTGGGCGTGGCCACTGGGCATGGTGACGGGACGGGCGTGGTCACAGAACATGGTGGTGGGCGTAGCCACTGGGCATGGTGACGGGCGTGGTGACTGGACATGGCGGTGGGCATGTCACTGGGCATGGCCTGGGCGTGGTGGTGGGCGTGGCCACAGCTGGGCTCTGCAGACAGCACAGGGAGGTGACTGGTCAGACAGCAGCCCTAGTCTGCACTGACGCTGGCTGGTCCCAGGAGCCCACGTCACCAAGCCATGAAAACCAAAGGCTCCGCTCAGGCAGCCATCGGCTCCTTACAGTCAGAAGCGGAGAGAAGAACAAAGAAAACGCGCAGCCCCCCCCTCCCCCGGGTTCCTGTCCTCGCTTCCCAGTGCTCGCTCCGGTTAGAGACGAACAAACCGCAAAATCCAACTTGTTCCACACTGACGACGGCATCCCTAAAGCTTCAGGCCCTCCCCAGAAGCGAACCCGCTCACCTGGTTTCCTGCGACACGCGCTGTGACGTCACAGCTTCACCGCAGACTCAGCGCTGGAGTCTTCGGGGTGGAGTGCATCATGAACTCCCTTGTGACTGGGAAACGTGAGCCGCCGCGGTGACGGGGACCAGGCACCCTGTGGTGGAGTCTGGTTCCCGCCCGTCCTCCCAAAGGGACCCTGTTCTCACTCTGGGTTCTTTTCTGCTCTCAGAGGACAAGGGACTCAGGCATCTTCTTAGCTCACTTTTTTTTTTTTAGATTTGCTAAATCTGGGAGCACCAAAAATGAACCTTAGGATTGAAAAAGTATGCTGGACAGGGTGATACATACCTGTAGCCCCAGCACTCAGGAGGTGTGGTTCGAGGCCAGCCTGGGAGTCGCAGCAAGTTCATGACCAGCGTGGGCTACATTACTCCTTGTCTCAAAACAAAACAAACAGAACACCCCACAAAACTTGGCTCTGCACATGTAACATGGTTCTGTCTCATTCCCGCGCAGCTACACACAGAAATAGAAGAGACACTTACATTTCATCTAAACTACTCTGCGGACTGAGATGGACAGGGACATCTGTGGGGCAGAGGGAGGTGTTGAAATGACCGGAGGAGAAACTGCGGGTATGCAGGCTCGGGCTCCACCCCGTCCCTTCTTTTGCTCTGTTGAACTCCACTGTGCAACCCAGCACACCTCACCACAGACACCCCTGCCTGCACCAGAAAAGAGGCTGACTGTGTGCACTTCAGTCTTGCAACTGCTTTCTCGCCTAATGAGGACTGAGGACTGCTCATATGTTTCTCTCACCTTAGCAAAAAGCTACTGTCTACTGGGAAAGCCCGCCCGACCGTTTCATTTTGTTTTTAAACTTCCAAGCATTTGGACTTCACAGGAGCAAACACCAGAGCATGAGACTCCAGGGACCAGTTTTCTTTAACAACAACAAAAAAAAAAAAAAAAAAAGGAAAAGAAAAACAAAAAGCAAAACAAAACAAGAAACCCAATCCTTGTATTGGAAGTCATGTTGCAAAATGAAGGTGATATTACATAGAAACTGAAGTGGGCAGGGTCCTTTGAAACCTCCAAGGTCCAGCACCTACACATACACACAGGCACGCATGCGCGCGTGAGCACACACACACACAACCAGCTTGAGTCTAATTGGTCAGGAACTCCCAAGCATTGCCCTTCAGAACTGGCACTCAATGGCTTTCTGTGTGGAAAGGTCACCTGGTTCCATGAGAGCATCCCTTAGCCCTCTGTGCCACCCAGGATCTCGCACTAGGAACAGGCTGCCCTCCACCAGCCCCCGAGTGGGAGGCAGGGAGAACACGGCACTCAGGGCAGTCTTCAGCCAGCTGTTCTGAGTCTACCTACCTGCCAGACTCGGGGATGCAATGCCGAGAAATGCCCTGTCCTCAAGGACAACTGCCTGACTGCATAATGGTGAAATCCCTGCTCAAACCATGGGCAAGCTCTAGAACATTCCCAGCCCATCTGTGAGCTTCCTATATACCTCAGCTTTAGCAAACACTGCTAAATCAGCACACCCCATCCCTACCATGAGGAACTCCTCACCCCATCACCTACAGGGGCCGCCTCATCGCTGCAGCTTGTCCCAATGATCAACGTTGACCTTAAGTTTCCCATATGTGGGAAAGTGGCCTTCAACTCCTCATCTTCCTGCCTCTACCTCCCAAGTGCTAAGATACCACACGTGGCTTCCACCCTGCCTTGTCAATCCCAGGAACCATTATGTGGGGCTAGCTAGCAAACATCCCTTGCTGGTTTTGCTACCTTTCAGTAACATATTTCCTGACCTCCACTTTGCTTCTTGACTATAAATTCCTACTTGCCCGTGCTGTATTCAAGTCAACCTCTCTTCTGCAAAATCCCATTGCCAGAAGCCCTACGGCCGTCTCACTGGCCCTGAGCAAAACAAACCTGCAGGCCAGCACTTGGTCTCTGAAGGTCCACAGGGGTAGTATGCACCATACCCATCTGCACACATCTGCACACACACACACATCTGCAAACACACACGTGCACACACACACATCTGCAAACACACACGTGCACACACACACATCTGCAAACACACCCACACACCTGCACACACACTTGTTTAAAAGATAGATGTCTGGTGGTAAACACTTTTAATCCCATCACACGGGGTGGGGGTGGGGGGTAAGAGGCCAGTCTGTCTGGTCTGCATTGTGAGACCCTGTCTCAAAACCAAACCAAGCCAAGCGACCTCCGATGTGACTGGTTTGAGCATTGTAACAAAAGCCCAGCTTGCTCAGATCTAGTCCCTCTCTTGTAACATCAGGGACAGGTCCAGGAGCCCAGGTGCAATGCCCTGAGGTGTCCTGGGGACAACGGGCTTCGGTATGTCACTAGGTAACGTCAGGATGCTCTGCTCTACTTCACCGTTGCCAGTTTGCGGCAGGATTCTCCCAGGCGCCTCTGCATTCTTCAGGAACCTTTGTGTCTTGGTTTTCACAGGACAGGTGCACACATTTCTCTGCACTCTCCACCTCCCGTCCCGCCACCGTTTCTTGACCCATGTCCCACCATCTGGCCATTTTAAGCCAGTCGGCAAGGGTCCAACTTTAGTTCTGTGGTCTGCCCCAACCCTGCCGTTTCCTTGGCTCTGTGAGCTTGGGCAGCATGAGTCCTTCTCCAGGGTCACCTGACGCTCAGGTCCGTGTTATTGCTTGGTCACTAAGTGTTACCAGCCACTTTATCCTTCTCAGAAGGTGTCTCTGCTCTCCCAGGGTTGTGTGAGGCGCCCCTAGTCCACAGCCACACACACCCCCCCGGCCATGATTGCCTCCCCGTGTGAACTCCCGCTGCACTTCCCTGCCAAGGAGCCCCGCGCTGTGGCAGAGTGCCACTGCCGTCTCCTGGCAGCTTGGTACCTCAGTGTGGACTGTGCTGGCACTGAGGCAGAGGGAGCCCGGTGCTGTGAGGGACACAGGCACAGGGCGGGTAGATCCTCTGGCCCGGAGGCAGAGTGTCAGCACAGAGTACTTCAATTGAGGGTCCTAACGGGACCTTTAAAATACGTATACTCTGAAGGGTAAGGCCAACAATCTCGTGACCAGGAGCCCCACCCCGTCACCTTGGGTCACATTCTTCTCCATGAGCATCAACCATAATCCCTGGCTCTCATGAGTCATCTATCTTTATGGTTTTATCACCTAGGTACAGGTCAATAAGTCTAGCTTTATATCTGATCATGTATATATGGCCACAATCTCCAGCGCTATGTAAGTCTATTATGGACCTCTGTTGTCCCAGCACTTGGGAAGCAGGGTGGAGGCAGGATCCTGTTACATAATTAGTTTGAGGCCAGTCTGGAATACATGAGACTTTGTCTCCAAAAAGAAAAAATTGCAACTGGGAAATGAAATTTAATATATAAACATTTCTACATATGTTTCTTGGGAGTGTTTGAACATGTAAAAATTGATTCCTGGTTGCAAAATGGAAACTACTGTAGGTAGGCTAACAAGCTAAAAGAAAACACTGTTTCAACGTTGCCTCCAACAGCCCTCAAGAAAACGTTTCCTGCCATGCTATCCCAATGTTCAAGCATGGGGTCAACTCAGAAGCCCGGCAAAGGACGGGTAAAGATAATGTAGTTTATTCAAGCCTCAAAAGAAAAACATCACTTGTATACAGCGAAATGAAAGAACTGGAGAGCAGGTTAACAGAAGGCAAATGTCGCGTGTTTTCTCTAGTATGCAGAATCAAGATTCTAAAAATAAGGCATTAAAAAGAGGGGGTATTATTTGGAAGACAGAGGGGCCAGTGGGAGACAGGAGGAAAGAACAGAGCGCTATCCGTGATTGAGGTACGCCATGTCCAATTATGAAGACATCATGGTGAAACCCACTATTTAGTACAATTAGCATATGGTGAAGCCATCTAAAAACCGTGTCGACTGTGCAGACACTGGCGAGGAGTTGGCAGCTGCTTTACTGCACGGAGCTTGGGCTATCCCCAGGGTCCTGCGCTTCAGCCGCGTCTTACACAATCACCCCAGGCACCCGCAGGGACCCACTGTCACAGGCCTCGGCCTTCTTGTAATATCACCTTTTCATTGGTTAGCATTTTAATGAACCTCTACGAAGCCACAAGGTTTCAAACCTTCAGGACACCCAACTCTTCTGGACAACTTAGCCTTTTTCAAGTTAACTTTGAAAAATTTGGTCCCAGCAGCGTTTGTAAACTTTCCCTTTCTTAGAGCGCCACCGCGCAACAGGACCCCGTTGGTGGCTATGACTTCAGTTAGCACCTGCGAAACTTTCCTTCTTAGAGCAACAGGACACCGTTGGTGGCTATGACTTCAGTCAGCACCTGCTCGCTGACCTGTGTGCAGTTGCGTCACGGATGGCAGCTGGGCAGCTCAGCTCCTCCTCGAGCGGTAACACCATCGACTTTCCTTAAGTAAGCAGGGCTGTCTATGTCCAAGGCATGCTACCACCATCTCTCGGGCCTCCTCAGGGCTTCTAGGGGTCAGACCTGTGCCTTCTTAAGAGAAGCCGTGTGTGAACCGCCCCTCGGCGGCTGACTGATGTCCAGGGAACCACTGGCCGACTCCCATCTGTTGCTGGCTCCCTCTGCTGGTGTATCATCTGTCTTCACAACTCCACCCCTAGCCATCTGCACATCTGCGCCCTCTAATCCAAGCTGTATTCCCACCGTGCTAAGTGACTCAGTACATTCAGGACTCAGGGTAGCACCAATGTGTCCTCTGACTCCTGGCAATGCTTGGCACATGGCCCTCGGCTTGCTGCTTAGATGGACTCCCCTGCTTTGGAGCACTTGCTGGTTCCCAGGTCAACTGAAGAATTCCCAGATACCCAATCAGCATCACTCAGCCGCCATCCATTTGCCACAACTGAGGAACCTCTACTTGTCACCCAAAGGCAATGGTTGACATCAACACCTCAGTGTTGTACACTGTGTCTGGACAACTCTGTTAGCACGAAGCAAATACACTCACATTCCTCCTACTAAACCCTCTCCCGTCTCCCGTAACTGCTCTCTTCATTGTCACGGCAGCACATATGTGCCTCTTTCAGACTGGCTTCTGTCACTTAGTAATATGCGTGTAAATCTCGTGTCCTTATTATAGCTCGTTACATTTTAGTGCTGAGCGTCCTCCACTGTCTGGAGGTCACGGACTGTGTAAATACTAAGACACCTTGGTAACTTCCGAGTTTCGTCAATCGCGAAGGGCGCTGCTGTGAGCACACACACAGGCTTGGGGTGTTGGGCCCGTGTGGAATGAGGCTGCTGTAGGGGACGAGGAGCTGTGGTTGTTTCGCACACTGGGCAGGCAGCATTGGGAGGCGCCAGCCTTGGGGTTTGGGGCATTCTAATAATGCTCTTTCATTTTAATCTACGATAGAACTGATTCTGGAGACAGGGTCTCACCATACAGCCTTGGCAGGCTTAGAGCCTGATATGTGGACCAGGCTGGTCTTGAACTCGGAGATCTGCTCTCCTCTGTACCTGAGTGCTGCCGTTAAATGTGTGTGTGAGCCACCACAAGAGGCACTTGTTTTTCAAGCAATCATTTTCCACTCTAGTCTCTGTGGGTTTGGAGGGTTTGCTGAGCAAAAGCAGGTAATCGTGTTTCATTATTTTAAAAGACTGGCATTTATAAGCAGGCCGGGGGGTTAATAACTAACTCTCTCTTCCTCTCAAATACAGGTAAATGCAGAAGGAACACCAGATCAAGTATTTCTTCAGCTCTGCACAGCTATTGACTCTGTTTTCTGAAGGAGAAAATGTTAAGGAAAGCAGAGATGGAGAAACACGACATTCACCCCTTAAACTTTTTCCCTTCGCCCCCTCCAATCCCAGCGGGCCTGTTTCCTTCCCAGCGCAACCCACGTGAACGTTATCTGGAAGCCATGCATGGTATCTTCAGGAATGTCCACCCTCTCCTCCCGTAGACAACGGTCCCCTTTGGTACACTTGTTTTTCTGTCACCAGGCTATACCTCAGAACAGCAGGATGGGAAGAGCAGCGTGGGATCTGTCTGTGCTAGCTGTGCCCGGGGCCACCTGGAGTCTGAGCCGTCACACAGAGAGAACATATCCCTAACTCTGCATCACAGCTTCCTTCTCGCCCACTTATCTGTTCCTCCCTGGTGTGGGTCCTGGGCATGGGGACGAGCTTGGACTGGCTCTGTCTCTCCAGTTTCATCCAGGAGGGGTCTGGAGTTCTGGGGGGACCTTTGAATGCCCAACAAGTTTTCAAAATGAGACGCTGTCCAGCTTCTCCGAGACAGCAGAACTGCGACCAGGACTATCAATTGGGGGGAGACTAGCACCATGGAACAGCGTCACAGATGCTAACGCGCCTGAGCAGCTGCACGAGCCACTCTCCATGTGGTGGTACGTCCCAGCAGTTCCACACTTAGTGTCAGAGACCGGAAGTGATTTAGAGGCAGAAGAGACGGTTGTTACTTCACTCACTGGGCAAAACCATGTTGTTCTGACCAGAGGTGATCACACCAAGTGCTGGGGCCAGGCTGGTGTGTGTGTGTCCTGAGGCTCCTGTGTTGTGTTTCATGGGCCTGCTCCATGGGTAAACACCTGCATCACACCAGTGACGCGAGCACCTTTTGTACTGAGTTGTTGAAGTGGAGCTGCTGTCTTCTGAAATACCTGCATCTTACACTCAACCACTACCCAACACGCAGTTCGGGTTGCATGATTCTTTTCCTCATGAGTGTGCAAATACCGAATGGTTTCCAGGACAGAACTGTATTTTTAAAATCATTTTTTCCCCTTAAAACAGTTATATACAAATGAAATAAATGGAAGCAAGGATAACTCTTTCTCTATTTATTTGTAACTCACATCGTTCTGGAAAGCCTTTGGAAGCTTTCATTCCAAACAGAAGCAAAACACAGTAAGAGTTTAAAATTATGATCCACTTATATGGTTTGAACTTTGGCCATAGACCAGATCTGAGCTATTACAGAGAACTTGTTAATGTATTCATGATACACCGTCATTTTCATATTTCTTTTTCCCTAGCACTGGTTCCTAAACAGAAATGTCAGTGTGTGCTAGACAAGAAATTACGTTTCTTTGGTTACAATTAGGTCTCTATTACCAAAAGGGGTGCAACATGTCCCCAAATTCACAGAGCTGTCGAATGTTTCACTAGTCCAAGCTGTCACACTCTCACAGGGACCCTGGCTATGCGAGCAAGGGTGAAAAGTGCTCTCCGGGGTGAAACAAGCCAGTTACCCAGGGATTAAGAGTCTCCAGACACAAAACACACACTGGCCAACACCGGCCCACAGCTGTGGGCGAGGAAACGAAGCAGCAGACACCAGGCAAGCCAGCCGGGGTTCCACAGGGTAGCAAGGTGGCAGCTACTTTGGAAAACTTCAACAGAAATCAGTACTTGGGAATGCAAATCAGTTTTCCAAAGGACAGCTAAAACACACATTGCTCTTGTGAATGGCTGTAAGTGACATCATTATGCTAAAGTCATAGGATTTTAAAACACGAAAAGACCTTAGCAGTTTTTGCCTAGCAAAAGGCTGTGCACGTATGTGGACAACTTCAGAACACTAATGTAAACTCCCTGGCTCTAACCTATGTTCAAGGGCACACCTCAACTGGTCCTGTGCCCTCCCTGACGCCATCAACTGGACCCTCCCTCTCACACGCTTGGCTCAGGCTACACTGCCTGTCTTTGAAGACGGCTGAGTAAACCAAGTTCGGGCCCTCGCCTCTGGCATCCCCTCGCCTGCTCCTCCAGTTGATCCCCACAGCTAGTTCCCACACTCCATGCTCATCCCCTGCCAATGAGGGCTTCTCGGCCCACTCGAAAGGCAATACTCTTCACAGTCCTGTGCTGTTCTTCAAATATTACTTTCCTTAATGCAATTGAGGGCATTTAAGTCTATTTGCACATGGCTGTCGTCTGTGACATGCCTATGAGCTTCACACAGGCCTGGCTTTTCTATTGCGGAGCCCTCACACGACGTCTCTTGCTACTGAAGACTAACATGTCTTAATTCTCATGCCTTCCATTTGCCCATTACATGCAGTTAGCACAACCAGTGACTGGTTCCTAGGACTCATTTCCCTATCTGTGACCGAGCCCCAAAATGTCACTACAAGCAAGACAAGAGTCACACCCACGGTGAATGATTTACTGGCTGAACCACACTCTATAAGGAAAGTTGGATGCAAAGGCTGTCTGTCCTCTAGGGTGTGACAAGGAAGCTACTGAGACAAGCCTTTCAAGAGTTACTGGCACCTCGTGGATTGGGGCCCACTACCTTCTAAAGAAAACAAAGTGTGACTGACCCAAACACTGGGTCACATAACCAACAAATCCTTGTAGAGAATCTGTTAAAATGTCAGGGCCTAGAGACACAGACACGGACTGAGTTCTCAAGCAGCTCAAAGGGGCCTAGCTCTCAGAAATCCATCCATTTAACAGGTACCTAAGCCCTGTAAGCAAAGCACTGGGTTTTGGTTCCCTCTGGGAACTCTTCCACTGGAAACCAAAACTTTACAGGCTTAAGAAGGACAACGCCTGGAGATGCCGGTTTCCTCCAGCGCACCCAGAACAATTGGTGTTAAACTTGGCTGTCCACAGTAAGAAAGTTCATGCAGCATACCTCACATGGCTGTAAGGGAAATTGCACAAAACAAGACTTATCTATTACAGTGGTACCCAACTTTCTGTCAGCCTTTAAAAATTGTTCCTCATTCCTCAGTAAACTGTGTTCTGTGATTTACTGTAGGTGAAAGGAGGGGGGGGAGAAGAGTCAAGGAATGCTATGGGGTTGGGTAAGAGGCCATGGGGATGAGATGCATGTGTGCTCCTGTGAGTCACAACGGTGGGGCCTTCTGGTACATTCTCCGGCCACACACAGGCCTTTCTCTCACGGGCCCATGTGTGTGCTCTAGCAAGACACAGGAAAAGGTGTGGAGAACACTCTGACGGTGGGGCTGTTTCTGCTTGGGAAACAGGGATAGGTCTTAGACAAGTCCATCACCTCACCAACAATAGGGTCCTGGGTGAGCCATTAAAGTCCTTCTGGCTAGACCCCCAGAGTACTAAATGAGCGTGCCTCAGTGGGCTGAGGATCCAGTGAGTGCTTTGTGTACAGTAACTGCTGTATCAGCATCTGTGTCGGTGCTGCCCTAACATCACAGCAATGGCTTTTGGTGTGTCTAATAACCCCGTGAGCATCATAGCCACTAAGTCGATCTGGCCCACTAACACACCTGACAACACTGCTCCCCTCAAGCACCCATCAGCAGCCAGGCTTCCCTGCAGACAGACAGAAGGAAGAGGACTGTGCACTTCTGCAGCCTTCAACAGAAACAAGAAAACATTTCCACCCAAACAGGAGAAACGCACACCACCACTACCTCAGTCTTGAAGGTCTCTGCCTTTGAAAGATGCATTCGAGTGGGCTTGCTTCTCTGGTGGTCTCATGACAGCTTATTAGAGCCACGTCACTCATAACCCCTTCCAAAGTGTTTCAAGCTTTACGGGGCTTTTGGATGGCCATGAACTGCTCTCCAAAACTACCTGACACTGTCTCTACGGGCGGTCTAAGTGTCCTGCATATCAGACACAAGGCTGCCCTCTGGCATGTGCACTGAGCATTTAGTACAGAGACACCTAGTTTAACCGTCTCTCCTTCATCGATGACCCAGAGATAAAAGCCTGATAACTTTTCTTTCTGAGGACAACAGACTGCATCAATATGACCAGTAATACATAATCAATATATTATCTAAATTTCTCATTTCCATAGTTAAAATTCTGTATTTTTCTTAATTAAAAAAATTCAGAGTAGATTTTACCTTGCTAAGTGTTGAAAGGAATTAGTAAATAATGTTCCCTGAAATTAAAAACAGGAAAAACAAACATTGTTAAAAACAAGACTGGTATAATACTTAATCCACCATAGAACACACTATCTTTTCCTAGTTGATAATTTTTGGAAATCACCTGTTTCTACACATGGGGACTTAATTTTGTCAGGATAAAACTTCCTGAATAAATGCTCGACCTCTACTTAAGCTCCCCATCTGGGCGTTAGTGAGCACCCTACTGTGAAGCGTTCTAGCACGCAGGACGAGAACACTACACCTCTAGCAGGTCACAAGCTCACACTCCTTTCCATAAAACACTCTTTAGCCTTTATAAAGAACAGAAAGCAAATACAGAAGAAAGGCTTATTTAAACGATAAATTCTAGTTGTAACCCTTGTTGAAAAAGGAAGCCACAACAAGCATTCTATAATATAAACAAACATATCCACATAGTTTATTTCTCACAGTTCTCCCGACAAATGAACATTATTCAAGAACATACTGTATACACAGATAAGAAACATACAAAATGTTTTAAATGATGCACAACAAAGCCCAGCAGTATAAAAGAATGCTGTGAACTCTTGCTCACTCTGCAGACTACACTTAATCACTCATTAAATAGTAATAAAAATACAATCTTTTATGGATCTTGTGCAGACTACAAAAGAGGGAAAATTATCACCATATATATGATTTTATATTAGGCAGTTTTCTTTGACTTTGAGTTGTACTGACAACTCCAGATCCAGAGGCAGAAGGCTGTGTATTTTAAGGGTTAATGTTGTGAACCAGACTTCACACAGTTACTACACTGGCACTTTTCACCATAGTCTGTACACACCACATGATCATCTTATATAACATGACATTTAAAAATATATCTGCGTGACAACTTTATGACAGTCACGCCCCATGAGCTGGTTACGGAAGCAAAGCACAGCTAGCTCATGCTTTGCTCCTGGGAAGGACAGTTCATCGTGATTAAACATCAAACCGTTAAGCAGCTCCAGGCTACTAAAGGCCATCAGTGACCACCGGACAGTGAGTTCTTTTAGAGTACACATCCTAGAAGCAAACACCATCATTGGTTAAAACTTCGTCTGTACGTCAGTCAGTCTCTGCTCCGAATACTATTTTCACAAAACTGAAAGCTACTAAACTGATTTAATATAAATACTTTGTCTTTCATCATCATATTTATGACTGAGGTCTTTGAAACCTTTGGAATTTACTCTCGCATTAACGCGCGCTCTCGTTCCCATCTCGCCCACTAAGATCACCACCTACAAGGCTCTCTGGTGGTGGTGAAAATTTCAGCAGGGAAACTCTCAGCTCACCAGGAAACGTTCACTGCTCATCTACAGCTACTCGGTGCAGAGCTGTGCTTGGCGAGAACACTCGGGAGCTCTCATGCTGTGAGTGTCCGAACCGCACGCCATCAACAATGATGCCATTGCTGTGTGTTGACGAGAACTAATGCCGACACTCTCTTCCATGTCATCTGTTGGCTGGGAAGTAGTTGGGATCAAGATAACTATAACTAGTGCCCTGGGACACACAGTAGTCTCTGTCTAAGAATGTCTCAGACTTATAGACAGGTTCTAACTGGTGATCTTCCTTGTGAATATCTGTTTCATGCGGGCTGCAAGGAGAGAGCACACACACAGACTCATTACTACACAACTCCACACGCATCTTCATCTCCTGACCAGAAACTCCTCTCAGCTAAACTGACCCCTCGGAAAGCTTCATGGAAACCAGATACATCTTCATCTCCCGACCAGAAACTCCTCTCAGCTAAACCGACCCCTCGGAAAGCTTCATGGAAGCCAGATACATTTTCATCTCCCTACCATAAACTCCTCTCAGCTAAACCGACCCCTCGGAAAGCTTAATGGGAAGCTACTCGAGATCTGACGAGATTTAAAGAAACTTTTAATTGCTTAGAATAAATCTAATAAATAAAACTATAGTTACACTTTAAGAAGTTTGGAAAGTTCAGTGCTTGAGGTTCCTAACCCCAAATAAAGAAAACACTTACCAGTCTGAACAAGAGTCACAGAAATCCAAAGACATTTCTGGAGGACAGTCCTGACAGTGCCACCGGACACCCTGGATAGGTTCTACACCACAGTTATCACACTGCAGCAGACACAGAAAGGCAAGAGTTGTTGGCTATGTTTTTTTTCTATGAGGAAGCACATGATGACATGGACACACCCTTTCCCCAACCTGCAGAAATACCTAACACACTGGCTTAATTTAGACACAATTCCCAGTGAAGCAGATACAAGTTTATCCATGCAAGATCAGGCTAGTGGTGGATGACAAGCAATCTTTGTATTTACCCAAACTTGGGCATCGTGCCAACCATTCCTGTGGAACCAGTGTGTGACTGTGAACACTAGACTCACTCACACCAGCCCTAGTGCTGCCCACTGGATGGCCACCAGACTGAACCCCTAAGAACAAAGCCTACAATGACAACAAGGCAGGCCCAGCTTGTTTTCCACAGGGCAATGCATTACAAGACCCCTTCAGTGTGCCCTCAGAGTGGACTTCTGGAGATCAAGTACAGTGGTTAGGATGAGAGCGGCCCCAGTGCTCATGTTTGAGAGCCTGGACCCCGGTTGGTAGAACCGCTTGGGAAGGCTTAGGAGGTGGGCTTTATGAGGTGGGCTTAAGAGGTGGGCTTTAGGAGGTGGGCTTTGAGTCTCCAACTCCAATTCTGCCCTTGTCTCTCTCTGCCCACTGCCTAGAATCTGAGTATAAAGCTTGCAGCCACTCACTGCTCCGTCACCACGCCACACGGACTGCTTCCCACCACGAGGACAGGCATGGACTCGCCCTCTGAAACTCTAAGCAAGGCCCCGCTAACTGCTTTCCTTTGTGAGAGTTTCCTTGGTCATGGCGCCTCTTCACAGCAACAGAACTGAGACACAGAGTAAATCTCATTTCTACATTCTTGGATTACACAACGCCATGGCTCAGGTCTATAACTCAACTATGAGAAGACCCAGTTTCCTCTCAAAAAGTCTACAAGCCAGTTAGGAAACTCTGTTAAGGGTGATTAAGGTCGCTGAAGTGTCCGGAGGAAAGGCTACCTACTCAAAGGACCAGAACTCACTCACAGCGTGCATCAACTCTATGTACATGGCCAACAGCAATACCACACTATGGTCCTGTTGAACTTTCTCCAACCTCACTACATGCAATCACTTCTAATGGCTACAAATCAGGCAGGACACACTTTCATGTAATTCTCAGAGTCTCCAAGATGTTGCCCACCTCTGGTCTTACGTTCTTTGAATCTAGTCCCCATACTATCCAGAATGATCTCTAGACCCACCTCATTTATATACTTAATGACATTACAGCACACAAATAAGTGCGTTACAAATTTAGCAACAGTGAATGATTAAGAACTTTTAAGTCGGGGCTGGAGAGATGGCTAGGCGGTTAAGAGCACTGGCTGTTCTTCCAGAGGACCCCCATGGCAGCTCACAACTGTCTGTAACTCCAGTTCCAGTGTATCCCACACCCTCACAGAGTGTATACATGCAAAACACCAGTGTACATTAAATAAATACACTAGCTAATAAATAAATGTTAAAAAAAAGAACTGTGAAGTCTAAACCTGGTGCTTTCTCAAAGTTAGCAAGCCCACTTTCACGAAATGCAAATTTCATGTTTCAGGTGTTCTGACTACTTTATGCACTCTTTAGCTGTGCTCAGTTATCACTCTGCTGTTTTAACTTTTCTAGGATTCAAACTCCGGATCCACTGACTCTGTGGAGATGAAGCATGTGGGAGGAGGAACTCAGTCCACCTCCTTTTAGTTCCCACCCCAGCACTTAGTGGAGAGAGAGGGTCTGCAATGCGTACAATCATCCGCCAGCCTCCCGAAACGCAATGAGGCAGCCCCCCGTGACATGGGGAAGTGTGTTCACCGACAGCTGGGACTAGGGAAGCAGAGGGTGACTTCATCCCGCTCACTGCACACGACAGACAACTGCACTCTCTCCTCCACACACAACTCAGATGTGTGACCCTACATGTGGACACAACTTTGCATGTATGCGTAAAAGAATCACAGAGACACTTACTACCCTGTCCCTGGATGCTTACTGGTTTCACAGTTGAATGCTGCAGGTCTCCCTGTCCACCCTTTCAAATATCAGATGACCAAGTTGCTTACCTTAAAGCCCACATGTTGCACAAAGCCACTTTCTGCCTGCATTTGCTGAAGTTTCTGCTTCTTTAACTTTTTAAACTGTAAGAGTTCTTTATATTCAGGTAAACTCCTATACATGACAGGAATGCTTTCCTCGTCCTGTTAGAAGATCAAAACATTAACGTGTCACTTTGATAATTACAATGGACTAAGTGTACAAAATACAATCCTAATTATTTTTCTACTGACATTTGTCACTTTTAACATCCAGAAAATGAATGCTGGTGAGTGTGCTTCTCCAGCACTGGGCTGTAGGCATCCAAACCTGGTCTTCACGCCTGCGCACTGTGCACCTGACACCGCCCGTCTCCACGCACACCCGACACACCACCCGTCTCTCCATGCACACCCGACACACCGCCCGTCTCTCCACACACACCCGACACACCGCCCGTCTCCATGCACACCCGACACACCGCCCGTCTCTCCATCTCTCCATACACACCCGACACACCACCCGTCTCTCCACACTTCCGTGTGTAAACATGGGATCTTCTTTTATAAGCAAAGCAATCTCTGCCCTTCTTTAATACTCTGTATTTGTAATAACCGACCAAAACAGTACATTTTTCACTCAAGGGGATGAACTGAATTACACTGGTTATTTAAAAAACAGTGTGGACTTTATAAATACTTCAGGGGTCTCATAAAACACTGAAACACAACAAGTCAAAACCTACAACCCCCAACTCCGAAGCTGACCACGCAGAAACTGTGTACTTTCACTCCTGAGACAGCATTCATCGTGCTGGGCAATGCCAGCCCCTCATGGTGCCCACGCTTCTGTCTGTGATCTCTCTGCTCTCTGACCTCAGTTCCTCCGCAGTGACTCCCTCTAGTCTTCTTTGTCCCCACTAACAGCTATACACGGGACCTCACCGCCTGCAACCAGTGCGGTCTGCTGCACACATCGACTCTAACCTCTCTCAATGCTCCCTTCCATTTCTCTTGCCATCTCACCTCAAATGGGTTTCCAAAAGTCTGCTGAGATTCCTAACCTGGTTTTGTATTTTTCCAATCTTACCCTGCTACCCAGGATCTTTTGCAACCAAATGATTCCATGGCCACTAGTTGCCTACATATACCTCCCATCCACGCCCCAAGTTCCTTGAATTCTCAGTCCTGGACCAGATACAAACCCCACCTCATCACCCTTTTGTAATGTTAAGGCTCATCAACCCTGGACCAGATACAAACCCCACCTCATCACCCTTTATAATGTTAAGTCTCATCAACTACTGCGCCTATTCCACAATGAAGGAATGAGTGCTGACAGAAACTATAACAACTGTCCTAGATCATAAAATTAATTAGTGAAATTAATGAGGGGATGACTTGAACCCTAATTTTCCTGATACACCCAGCTGTCTAAGACAGAGATCTTGGTTTTTTTCTCATGCATAACTAATTCTGTCATGATGTAACATTCCTCTCAAATCCATCTTCTAGTATCCACTCGCTCCACTGTCCCCACAATTACTTTAAACTTCCTATGTCAGTGTCAAGACCAAGGTCCTCAGGTAGATCAAAGATTCTCGAGTTCCACAATGCACGACTATAGCTTTCATCCATCTGCAAGTCTGTCAGCCACTGTTCCAAGCTTGCATGTTTGGCACAGATATTTCCCCCCAAATAGTTCAGTCTGCAGATGGTAAATCAGCAGACACAGAAAGATCTACAGACAAGACAGGGAAGCAGCCAGTGTGCTTTCTCTTGGTCACATCTGAACAGAGGGAATGGAAGACGGTGGGCACTAGGAGCCGGAAGGAGTGTGGAGATACCTGCTGGAGATGCTGTCTGACAGCTTCAGGTAATGGTATGGAGAAGATTTTGTAAACTGTACAGAAACACGATACTAACACTACTGAATGTGTACTCCATAGCTATTTGAGTTATATTATTTCAATTTTACTTAAAAAGGACTAATTCCAATAAGGCGAAGGTGAAATATAGATGTTTCAAACTAAGGAGTAGATTATACACATGTACGTTCTTCAGCTGCTGCGTCTTTGGAAAGAGAAACCTACACGTTACCACTAGAAGATTAATAAACACACATTTTAAATAGCTGTGTGCATCAGAAAAGCATGGTGACACATGCTTGTAATTCTAGCTCTGAGGATGCTGAGGCAGGAAGATGATCATTTCAAGACTTTCCTAGGCTATCCAGAGAGACAAAAAGTGAAATCTAACTTAATTTACTATATTATTTTATACTGGGAAATGAATTGATGGCCTTGCACATACTACACGAGATGAGCACTAAATGCTTATTTAAAATGCCCTGTCCCTCCTCACATGGCTAACATTTAGTCAGGCTTTCAGCACTCAAGTGACTACGAACGCTCCCTCCTCTACTCCTCTGAAGGCCTTCAACAACTGCTCACTGCTGTGATCAGTTAACAAGTCCAAGACGCAGAAGAACAAAGACATATGTATGTTCACAGCCCCGAGCACAGCCTGTTAAATAACATGTTTGGGTAAATAGCTCTTCACACAAATCATTCTAACAATCACAATGCACAAACTCAGATAAAAGTCCTGTCTCAAAATCAGCATGAGCATTTCCAGAGGACAACTTTAAAGGGAAATACAACTCCACAACACAACCACTAACCGTTATTTAAGAGACAAAGTGTACTGCTAGCTCTCCACTAAAATCTCCTGTGCCGATTCTATGCAATCAGAGCGATAGTATCCATGCTTCAAGCAAGGAGTCAGCCATCTCCCAGGAAATGCAGGACAAAGGAACAAATGACATGACGCAGCTGAGAGGATCCACACTACCACAGCAAATCCGTGGACGAACAAGCCAGGCTTCAGGGCAAGCGGTAAGGGGAAGGAAAATGAAAGGGGTTTTCACCCCCACCCCAACCTCTCGCCATTCTTTGGCTCCAAACACACAGGTGAAAATCACCCCAAGCGTTTGAGTCCAGCGCTTGCCTGATGTGCACAGGGCCCTGAGCACGCCTGCGCACACCTGGTGCCATGATCAAGGTCACCAGGCACTCCATCACTCCTCAGAAACCTGAGCGTGGCGTCTGAAACTATCTCCCTCCAAGACCATCTGACGTGGGGCTGAGGAGACTAACGGCCAGGTGACAGTTATTGAAGCTGAGGACAGAGTGTGGCCCAGGGTGCTGTTCTCACGACTTAGGCACACACTGACTTGGTGGTCAGAGGAGGATCCGTCAGCACTCTCTGAAAGGAAGGGGTAGTCAAAGTCATGCTCCCTACACAAGCAGGCCACAACTCACCGAAGCCTCCTCCACAGCAGTGCCCGTGTGGCCATGAAAGCAGGAGCGGTCATCGTCTTCATCCATGTACACGGGCGGCTCATGGGAAGTCATGAAAGTGGAGGGTTTGAAGAGGTGCTTGTTGAGAGGGTGCTGCCGCCTGCTCGCCGAAGACTGCGGAGAAGACAGACGCCTTACTCGACAGAACCAAAGGACAAACACGTGCACGCACCCCGCCAGTCACAGGGATTCAATACTGCTGCACTCAACTCCCATGAAAACCAGAGAATGAAATGGCCTAAGCCAGACAAATAGGTGTCCAGTGAGAGAAGCTGCTGCAGCATGTGCGTGTCTAAGACTGTCACCCAACACCCAGTGACTGCCCGCTCTGTGCCCGCCCGCCCACCAGTGCTTATCACAGTCCACAGCAGCTACTGAGATGCAGACGCCAGCCCGAGCTGGGTCCAGGCTGCGGGCAGAACTGGGTGGGATCTGTGGGCAGCACGGCCTTCACTAGCAACCACTGCGCAGACGCCACACACGCTCACTTTATTCCCTGGCACAGAACCACCGAGTCCCGCCGCTTCACCCATTTCACGTCCAAACTCTCACCATGCTCAGGGACACTAAGACTACGGCTACACTAGGACTCCACAACCACCATGTCTACGAACTTTCAAGAGACTACATAGACAGAATGAACACATTTAGGCTTTGCCAGTATTCCTTTTTGGTAATTATTCACTCTTAGTTATAAAAACACAAGGTGTAAAGTAACATTTAACAAAGTTAATTTAGAAACATTAACTAGGGGGTTGAGGATATTTCTTAATGGTGAGCACTTGCCTAGCATAAATAAAGTCCTGGGTTTGAACCACAGTAAGGAGGGGAGGAAGGGAGGGAGGGAGAGGAGAGAGGAAAGAAAATTAACAACCATGAAGAGCATAGCTGTTAGTCTCAACACCGGCGTGCAAGGTCCCAGCGTTCCAAGGCTGTAAGAGCTACATATACCATCAGTGCTTAAAACAATTAGCAAATTAAAGCGAACTTGAAAAGCTTGGTTAAACATAATTGCAAAAACCCATGGAGCTGGAGACACGGTTCAGGTGTTAGGGCACTTACTGCCCTTGCAGAGCACTGGGGTTTGATTCCCAGAACCCAAAGGTGGCTCACAACCTCCTGAAACGCCAGCTCTAGGGGAATCCAGTCCTCTGGTCTCTGGGCACCAGTGGTCATGTATACATCCACACAGACACGAACTCTAAGATGGGAACTATATAAACCATCTCCTTAATGTAACATTAAGTCATACAAACCACCCGTCAGCTTCCTTCACGTGCAGCCTCTAGTTTTCCTAGTTTACCAACTACAATTCCCCAAAACACGGCTGCCCGTCAACGCAGTGCTCTGTACGTCAGAGAGAGCTCTTCTCACTTAAGGGCAGCGGGAAAGCAAGACTCAAAGACAACGGTTCTCCGCTCATCCGTCTGTGACAAGTGTTCCCATGCTGTCACGGTCTACTGTGCCTATGCGTGCAAAGGCTGAGAATAGCGCGCCTTCACTAGTAATGGCTCCTGTCAGCACTCAGCACAGAGGGGGAGGGAGAACACTGCACTCCTCTACAACTGCAGGGAGGGAAGCTAAGGACGTCAGTGACGTCTCAGGCTGTGCAGCACAGCAGGGAGAGAGCTGACCTACATCTCACAATCCACACCTGACAAACTTCAACATCACTAAGATATGCCTAACAGAATTGGTACAAAAACCCCGTAAGTAGTACTCACTCATGTTACTTCCAAAAAAACAATGAAGAACTGTTAAAACTCAGCACAGTTTTCTAAGTAGCAACAATGGAATCTCATTCTGCCTTTATACCCAACATAGTGAAACGTCAAGAGGAGCCCACCCTAACAAACTCACACCCACACGACAGTTCTGAATTCAATGAGCTCCAACTAAGGCGTGTTCGTCTGTGCGCCTTACCTTTTTGGAGTATATATATAAGTTAGGTGTTCGGCCTGGAACTGGAATACCGGCTTTAGTTAGCTTTATGAAATACTTCTGTACACGACTGGCAACCTAAGGAAACATAGCAGTTCTTTTAACATAACGAAATGATGTGGTATTAGTGAAGTTTAAATGGTAACGATTAAATCAAGAAATAACCTTTCAATATTCATCAAAGGCATCTGTATTTTAAAATCCTGACAGAATAATTTCAAGTAAATTTAAATTTGTGTGACTACGAACGTGAGCCCTTACTGTCACTGTGAACATGGGTGAGCAGAGCAGGAAGCCACCTCCTAGTAATATAGACGAGCGTGAGGAACGGAGCTGCTGTGTCCGTGCTCGGAGAGAAGCGGGATGACATTAACGCCATGCACAAAACCCACCAGCACAGTCTGACCAAAGCGACGGCGCAGCACTCACTAAGCACTCAAGAGATTCAAGGTCCACCATGCATTTTTTTAATGTTTTGCATTGATGCAGAGCAAGCAGGTTTACTTACGTTGTTTCTGCAATCAACATAACAACAAGCAATGCTAATCCATTTAAAAGCATCACACACTAGAGCCAGCAATGGCTGCAGAACTGTCCGCCACATCTACACACGTAGCCTACAGCCCTTCATCACCTGTTTGGCTGTCCTGTTGCCCAGCTCATCTGCAATCTTCTGCCACCGCCGAGACTCTACTTCTTCAGGAGGGTATTTCAAGAGTAGCTGTTCAAGTTTTTTCTGCATCAAACCCAAGACCAAGTTTTAAGTGAAAAATGTATTCCATTTAAAATACATTTAAAAGATACATTCACATTTTATTCAAAGCACAGCTCCAGACATGCTATCATTAGATTCTCAAAGTAGAAAACAGTTCCTGTCAGGAACTAAGATGCCACAGCAAGATGAGACCAACGGCACCTAGGAAAGCCCTGTGGAGGGTCTGTACTCACTGTACTGGGTGACAACAGCACATGAGAGCACAAGAGAAACGACACGTCAGGCGGCACACATCTGAGTGAACGTGGCTCCCCATCTGTCTTCGTGCCAGAATGAGCAGAGGACCCCGCAGCGTTAACAAAACCAACGCCAGTCACTGGGTTTCGAATATTGAGAGTCTTCCTGCTTTGGTCATCCGTCATTCAAGCACCTGACTGGATCCTAGCACTCAGCTTCTAACAGTCAGGTACACAACCTAACTCAATACACAAGGTCACACTGCATTAGCTGGGGCAACGCCAGCCTTGAGCACAGGCAATCTAAGACAAGGGTTACAGTCCGGGTTCTCAGCTACCTGACAGCAGAAATTAAAATGCAACTTGAAGGAGCTCTGCTTGCTTCGAGGCTTTACTGTCTTAAAGCTGCTTTTTAAGACAATTCATCAGTTTCTCCTTTCCAAACCCAGGGTTTTTCTATAAGAATTATCCTAAGCCGGGTGGTGGTGGTGCACGCCTTTAATCCCAGCACTCGGGAGGCAGAGGCAGGCAGATCTCTGTGAGTTTGAGGCCGGGCTGGACCCATAGCCTTCGAAACAATACAGAGAAACCCTGTCTCGTAAAAACAAAACAAAACAACAAAAAAAAAAAAAAAAAAAAACAAAAAACAAAAAACAACAACAAAAAAAAGAATTATCCTGAAAAAAAAAAAGTTCATGTACCTTCAAAATCCAAAATTCTTACAACATGCAAAAAGGTGTAGAAAAGTAAGTCTACACATTTTAAACTCATGATTAAAAGGAATTACAATGCAGCAGTGAACACTTGCCTGGCAGTGCTAATTTTACTATCAACACTTTAGATTGTCATTAAACCCTAACAAGCTAGAGGTACGCATTACCTGTTCTTCAACAGTCCACAGCTGGTTGAATGTTTCAGGTTTGGTGTCATCACACAGGCGACCTCTTATCATCTGCACATAAAAGAGGGCGTTTTATACATGTAAAACATCAAGGGTATAGCTAAAGAGCACACAAAGACTGTTTTACAATTTCCAAAATATCTTTGCATATTTTTAACATATATACCACCTATTTACTGAATAAATTTTTTTCAAATTCTTGTATTTCATTTGGTTTTAAACTCTTCACAATTCTCATATAAATAAGTGATAGCAACTCATCTCTAGAAACGAGACATGTTGGTTCAAAATTGAAAAGGAACAATTCCTACAGAGACAAGGCTACACCCCAAATCCTGGTCACACTTCACAGCGCCGCTGGTTGTAGGCACAGTACCCACAATGCCCACTTAAAAGCCATAAAGACTCTCCAATGCAACCAATACCAATAACATTTTATAAGCGGCTGTAACTTGAAGACCGGAGCAGACACAACAGAAGTGTCCCAGCGAGCAGTTTGGACAGATTAGGTTTCTGGTTACCTGGAAAGTTTATGCTCCCATTGTTTCTCAGTGAGCAGCTCTCCACTTTAAGAACACAAATCAACAGAACGTGAAACATTTCATGCTCTCAGATATGCCACACTACTCACCTGAGGGCGACTATGGGACCCTTCTGGACCGTCACTCAAAGGCAACACGGAGTAAGAAAGGGACTCTCCATCCTTCTTAAGATCTAAAGGGCTTTTTGGTCTAGCAGGCAGGCCTACTAAAAATAAAATCACACACAGAATTATTCCAGCAAGACACTGAAAGACATCTTCCTCATGAAATTCTTACTGCGTAAGTTCTTACCTTTATCAAAAACTAACTTAACTCTCCTAGAATGTCTTTTGCGATTTTTAAACTCTCTTTCGAAGTTCCCAAGGCTATTGGTATACTGGTCCCACACAATCTCAGGCAACTGAACAACTCTCTGTGGGTATGGAAGTCCTATATCGGCCTGGGAAAAAAAGACAAAATAAAAATATCAGAGTTCCAATCTACATTTAACTCAATGTAGTAAAATAAAATATAAGAGGCACACTGTAAAGACTATTCCTAGGGTGCTAAATACAGACTACAAAGAGATACGGGATCTCATCAGCAGCAACTCTACACATAAAAACATCAGTTCTAGTAACAAGCACAAGTGTGCAGAAGGCAACAGATGAGACGCTGGGACATACCAACTTTGACATTTAGCCTCAAGTTTGTGGCTTATCTGTAGCATAATAAAAAATGAATTCACAATCTAAAGTCGCTTTTCTTTCTGGCACTATTGGGCTTTGTACAAAGCATGCACATCCAGCAGCATCCCTTGCCTCAAATTATGACAACTTAAAAATGAAACTTACAAATTAAATCTAGGACACACAAGCCTTCCTAAGCCGCACAAACTTTGCTTCTGTATTGAGTATATGGGTTTCATCTTTGTAAAAAGTTAAGATGTTCAATAATACATCTGCTTCAGACTTTTTTTAAAAAATTCTAAATTTAACCTGGAAATGATAAACAAGCAAACAGCCAATAACATATAAATTTAGTAAGTCTGCCTAAATGTATGCTTTTGCTCATCAGAAAAGAGATTAAAGTTAATACATTATTTCTCAAACAGTTTTAATTTAATCTGCCAAAAAATTACCATCTTAAAAACAACATCTTAAGGGAGTCTTCCTCACTCAGCATAAGCGGCCAAAAACAAACATACAAAACAAAACCCCGCAGGGCTCTTTTAAGGGACCCTGCCAACAACTGAACGGTGTGCACAGCAGCTGGCAGGGGCAGTGACCACATCTCCAAGCAGGCATAGACTAAAGCAGTGAGCACAGCTCCCAGTGCTGGACGCAAACTTAACGCCTGCGCTGCCATGTTGGAGAGCCAGCGGCTGTTTCCACCTTAACTTTAGCAATGTTGTTTAGCAGATAACAGACACGCGGCCAGAAAAACAAAGATTTACAGTAAAGTCAGATGCAGATGAGGTAAAACCTCTAAAAGGTTTATAGTGTGTTAAAAAATATATGTAGGCTTGGGAGAGAAAAAGAATCAGGACAGTGAAAAAAACAAAACAAAAAAACCACAAAGAGAGTAGCTGGGTGTGGTGACACATGCCTTTAATCCCAGCACTCCAGAGGCAGAGGCAGGAGGATTTCCACAGACAAACCCTGTCTCAGAGAAATGAATGAATGAATGAATGTGGAAGATGTAGAGTAATATAAGTCATGTAAAGATGAAAAATACACAGAGGGTCAGGCTATTGTGCGCTATTTTTTTCAGTTGTTCAGTCGCTAAGGAAAGAACAACCGCTGAAATATACTTGACAATAAATGGTGCTAAATTAACTTAACTAATGCTTTGACTTCAAAATTTAAGTATAAGGATGTATTACTTTGGAAAAGAGATTTTATTTATGTTTCCACAGAAAATGGAAAGCTGTGGATTCCTTCCAGGCTTCTGTGGTTTGATGAATCAAGACCTCCTGAAGCAATGTCCCAGGCAGTCCAGCATCTGAAACTGCTGGGACGATACAGCTGTGTAGACTACAAAAACAAGGACTTGGCCAGGTTTCTGTGTTTTGTCATAATCTCCACTGTATGGACAGCACCCCCAACTAGCAGGAAGCAGTTTGGAATGAACAATGCCCAAATTCCCAAATATTGCTTATAAAATTTTGTCTTCATTTAATTGGGGTTGCTTATAAATGGTAATGATCACAGTCAATCTCTAAAGGGAAAAAAAGGGAATATGATATAGGAATGAATACTTGTACTGGTATGGATTTTCATTTATTGATACAAATTTAAGAGCAATTTTGTGATATGTATATTTCTCCTCTTGTTTAGATACTGTGTTTATACAGCTCTTTTAAAAGTGTAATGTATAAGTAAATACAGATTATAGTTACCTATAATAGTCAAGACATAGTTAGGTTAGTTAGTTTTTCTAGATATAGAGATATATTTGAGATGAGACAGTCTTCAAACCTTTCAAAGACCTTCAGAAAATGGCATTTAAAATGGTTTAGGGTTTTTCTTGGCAATGAGAAATGTCTGTTCCTGGTACACCAATTATATCTGAGAGGAAGATGGTTATTCAAAGAAATTCCTTATGGAGTTTGCTTTCAACATGGCAAGAGTAGCCATTTGGGCAAGAAACTGCTCTTGCCTAGACCGTTTGACTGTTGCTGTATTATCTGGACATGCAGGACCCACAAAAAAGTGACTGCTGAACTTGGACAGTCCTAAAGGGTTCCTGTCTCATGGAAGAGTCTGCCAGACTTTCTGTAGGACACAGAAAAATGACTGACAGACTGCCAATGCAGATGGACAGTTTGAAATTTCCTGCTATGCTGAGAAGTCTTCCAGATGTCCCAACATTACAGAGGAACTTCGGGTGACTGTTCAGGTAGCGATATGTCTCTGTCAATTCTAGTGTTTATATATTATCCTTCTGTAGTCTTTGATGGAGTTGAAGACAGATAGTTATAATTATAGTTTTCCTTAGTTATGATAAAAGATAAGCTACATAAAAGACTTTAGACTCACAAAGATAGGATAGATGATAAAATACTTTCTTTAAATCTTACTAAATGTTAATGGACAAAATATTACAACTATAGTTCTTACTTGATAACTGTTCTGTCATATATAATTTGACTAAGTTAAAGTTAAAACCTTTTTATTTAGACAGAAAAGAGGAGATGATGGGGGAAGTCCTGTGTACATGTCTCTCTTTGGTTAATGAATAAAGCACTGTTGGTCAACAGGGAAGCAAGATAGGTGGGACTATGAGTCGAGGAGGATTCTAGGAAACAGAGGCACAGTCAGTCATGATGTAGGACACCAGAGAAGTAAGAGGTCCAGTCCCTTTCTCCGGTAAGAGAAGACCTCGTGGAAATACTCAGATTAGCAGTTATAGGTTAACAATTAAGTCAGAACTAGGTGATAAGAAACTATAGCAAACATCCAACAGCTTCATAATTGATATAGTGTCTCATGTGTCATTTGGGGGCTGAGACAGCAGTGGGACCCAAGCAGCTGGTGGGAAGACTACACATTACAGTAAGGTCTTAGGCTTTTGTTGTTTATGGTGCTTTTTATTTTTTTAAACAGTGTCTCTTGTAGCATGGGGTGACCTCAAATCTGACTGGTAGGTTTGAGGATGACCTTCAACTCAGGACCCTCATTCTTCAGTTTGGGATTCTAAATTTGCACCACCGCACTGGACCAAGGGAAAACCTATTTAACAAAGAAGGTATAATACAGCTCTGAAACCAGTTTTTAACAAGCTAATAGATAGATTATGCATGTACTATGGAATGCAACGTTTCCTGAAACTAAAGAAAGTATTAACCAGACATCTCACTTACCCCGAGGTTCATTACAGAGAAGCACTCATGGGTTTTGTTTTAATGTTTTCACACAATGCTAATGTTGAGGCTTTCAAATATATGAAGCAAGGTTCAGAGGTAGTAGAGCACTTGCGAGCACAGGGTCTTGGTTCCATCCCCAGTACCAGAGAACAACACCCCCACACAATGCACTTATGTGTTTAATATTGATCAATTAGGGGGCTCCCTAATTTGAGGCACTTAAGAGTATATTTGAATGGCTCACTGTTTGCTTCAGATAAAAGGGAAAACTAGTTTCACACGAAGAAAAAAAATCTTTTACAAAATTAAATGAAATTCATAGTTTCTCTTCATAGATTTGGTTATACTTTAAGCACGTATAAAATAAATTTTTGTGTTGTCTCTATAAACATTTGCTTTTCCTCTCAGTATCAAATGCAACCCAAACAAAAGCAGTTAATAATTAATAAGTCCTCTGCACCAGGCCTCGGAAGTGACAAGTGGAGGACAGATAAAACATGACCAAAATTGCTCTGTCCACACAGACAATGAGAGTTCAGTTCTTTTCATCTGGGCATATGCTGTGTGCTGGACTAACCTGGAAGGCGGGGGAGTTAAATATTCTTAAAGTACAGACTCATAGAGAAAGAAACATAGTTATCTTAAAATTACCAAGCACACTCCAACACGTTTAAAAGTACCAAAGCACATTTTTGGGGTACCTTCTTCTGGAGTTTTTCCACAAATCCAATAGGATTCTTTAGTGCTTCTCGCTGGTGTTTGCCTAAACTCTCTAGGTCTTGGACTGCTTGAGAACGCTGGGCCTCAAGGACAGCAATGGTCTGCAGCAGTCGCTGGTAACTGGAGACAAAGAGAAATCTCACTAGAGTTTTCTACTGACAACAGCAATAAATAAAGCTGAGTTCTAGGTCTCATCTACTACACATGAAGTCACACAGTCTTTTTAAAGTTACCTGAAAGAGTTTAGTAAAACACTACTGGGAATAAATGAGGTCTTCCTGAGTTACGAAGTACCTAGTCAGAAAACATCAGTTAGAGAAAGCCAAGCCTCCTTCCCACCTTAAACTTCTAATTCTTAATACTGAGTTCTAAAACAAGAAAGCCTTCTGATGTTCCAGCAACAAGGTCTTAGGAAACTTCTTCATAAAAGAACTAAGATCACATGATTTTATACACAGAGACAAGTCACCAAACCCAGCCCTCTGGCCACACTCTGCAGGAACATAGCATCTAAGGCACATTTCCTTCCAAAGCCACAAGACAGTGCCCCATATCTGACAGGCTAGTAGGTCACAGTTAATCTGCTCTCACCCCTCACCCACATTTCTCTAGCATTCACGACAAGACAAATGTTGAAGGCATTTTTACTTCCCTGTAGGCAGGGGCTGTCTACATCAGCTTCATCCACATCATCAATAGACCTACTTGTCACCCATCACCCTGTAGGCAGGGGCTCTCCATCAGCTTCATCCACATCATCAATAGACCTACTTGTCACCCATCACCCTGTAGGCAGGGGCTCTCCATCAGCTTCATCCACATCATCAATAGACCTACTTGTCACCCATCACCCTGTAGGCAGGGGCTCTCCATCAGCTTCATCCACATCATCAATAGACCTACTTGTCACCCATCACCCTGTAGGCAGGGGCTCTCCATCAGCTTCATCCACATCATCAATAGACCTACTTGTCACCCATCACCCTGTAGGCAGGGGCTCTCCATCAGCTTCATCCACATCATCAATAGACCTACTTGTCACCCATCACCCTGTAGGCAGGGGCTCTCCATCAGCTTCATCCACATCATCAATAGACCTACTTGTCACCCATCACCCTGTAGGCAGGGGCTCTCCATCAGCTTCATCCACATCATCAATAGACCTACTTGTCACCCATCACCCTGTAGGCAGGGGCTCTCCATCAGCTTCATCCACATCATCAATAGGCCTACTTGTCACCCATCACCCTGGACCCTCATTACAGTAGATACACGAACCAGTCCATTCTCATTCACTGTCTTTTCACTGACTCTGTTTGAGTCTGGAATGCCTGGTTTCATGTATAAACACACATAAAAATGTAAAACCCTAAAGCCTTGAGTGCTCAGAAGCTTGTCACAGAAAGAATTAAGAAGTCACTTAAAATTCGCTTCAAAGTAACAGGCTGTCTTTAAAGTATCAACTGAGCAATTTTCCTTCATGGTCCAAATAGAAACTGTGTAAAACACTTCCCAGCACACAGATGCTCAATAAATATTTCTTGAATAAATAATTGCTGTTTTGTCCAATCAGAAGCACAGCAAGTTTTGTCAGTCAGAAGCCAGCAAAGCACTAGAAACCTCTAAGGAGAAGCAATGGAACTACAAGACTACTGAACATTATCATACAACTGCATGGGTTATGTCCACAGTCCGTACGGGAGATGGTGTGGTGGTAACTATGAAAGCATTCTCTTTCAAGTCTAACTGTGCTCTTTAATGCAGACAACATGACCAGAAGGCACACAATCCACAGAATGAATGTGTAAGGCAGAATACTGAACACCTGTACAACAGTGATGCCACGTTTTCCCCACTTTAAATCATTTCTCACATTAGACATCTTGCCAGTTGGGAGGGACTACAACGTCTATCTATCCCTCGGTAGACTGGAACAACATCCTGTCTGACACAATCTATGATCAGCCCCACCCACAGATTTCTCCACACTCAAAAGCAAAATGAACAAGTTGGTTCATGAGTGAATCCAAGGTAAGACTTAGTTGTTCATTAATCTGATCACTGCACTCTCTAAGCAGCTCTAGCAATTAACAAAGCAAACTCAACCTGGGACTCAGGTGTAACAAGGGAGCTGCAGTGCTGGGAGAGAGCAGAATGGAGAGCAGGAGAGAGCCCACTGATGGTCTTCCCAGAGACGGGAGGAGGAGGCATGGAGCTGAGAAGCTGGCTCACTGGGCCACCCACTGTTGTGTATTTGAGACTGTCCAGAATTAATTTAAAAAGAAAGGGGGCTGAGTACGGTGGATTACACATTTAATCCCAGCAACTGAGAGACACTGCAATTAACATGGTCTACATGGCGAGTTACAGGTCGGCTGGAGCTACCTAGTGAGATCCCTATCGCAAGAAAAGAAATAGGAAAAGAGACAAACGAAGAAAGGAAGGAAGGAAACCACAGACTGTGTCTTTGAACCAAAGTAACACAGAAAGTGACATCGTACAGGTTCTGGCAGATACACTTGCCAATGCATTCAGCTCTGCTTAGCAGATGACAAGTCTATGAAGAGACAAGCTAAATGAACACCTATTTAATAAGAAACAGTAATAAGAACAAATGGGATAGACTATCCTTCACAGGGGTAAGGCAGAAAGGCAGGACCATTTAAGGACAGCCTCGCCTACAGACTAAGAGCCCATCTGAAAATACAAACGACAACAAACATGTAAGGTCTAACATTCACTTTGTGTACTACACGCCAGACACTGCTATTTTAAATTTCACAACCCTGAAATGGGCATCATTCGTTATTCAAGGCATACTACAAGAAAACTCTTGCCTCAAATAGATGGCAGAAAACAGTATCAACTCACCACAGATATTCATCCAAGTATTTCAAGAAACTCCAAGTACAGTTTTTAAAAACTCTGAAATTCCATAGAACCAAGGAAGCACTTTTCACTTTGGCTAACCCTTTAACCTTCTAAGAAACAGAGTAACCTGTGAAAATGACACGTGTTTCCTGTGTGATACGAAAAGTCACAACTTCCCAAGGGATGCTAGTGCACTGACTGTGTGACAACTCTATCCAGTTCTAAAGCTGAGGGGCACCAACAGGTCTCTCTTATTTATGACAGGGACACACAGACAGTTAGCTTTCAGACTAGGGGATGGCATTTGACTACGTATGGCACCTATACCTAAGTATTTCACTACCTTTCCTGGCCAAGCTGTTAACTTTCATGAACATAAACATACACAAAACAGTCTACAGGTAAAACCCTGATGCCTAAGAGACGCACTGGGGAAGCAGTAACTCAGCATCTTACTTCACTGCTTTTTTTCTAGGCAGTGACTCTGCATACACCAGTGGGGGTGGGGAGAGGATGGAAAATTTTACTTTTCAGTGCATCAGCGTCTTTTTCTAGGGGCCAGGTTTCCATTTCTACAGTGGAAAGAATCCTTAAGAGCTCACACGAACATTTTTAACCTTGAAATGTAATACGGAAACACTTTAAAAATCTAGTGTTCATATATTCTACCAAGAAACCTGGTCTAATTCTTCAAAATAATAATAGTCAATGGGAAGGTCTCTGGTCTGTTCCCAGGTTTCAGTACTAGATGAATGGGGGGGGGGGGAAGAAAGAGGAAGTAAGGATAGACATGACTGCTTAGGGGTGGTGGAGGTGAAAGGTTACTGCAGGCGAAAAGAGGGCAGACAGCAGCAGGGGAGGCCGGTGAGTCCACAGTGAACATGACCCTGAGCGGGCCAGCAGAGTTGGGGGAAGAGAAAGGAGAGAGCCAGGAAAGGAGAGAGTGGACACAAGGATTATGTAGGGAAGGGTAACCGGAGTGAGAGCAGCCCAGCACCTGGTGTGGAGAAATTCTGGGTAGGGGGTAGCCATACTCTACAACAAGTAGGGCCTAAGGGACGCTGAGAGAAGCTGGCAGGTAGGGCCACTGTGGTGAGTTCAATGTGTTTAGGGTTTGAGACCTAATGATAATCCAGAGGGGAAAAAGACAGAGAGAGAGAAAGATGGCAATCTAGTCTATACCCAGAATCTACACAACCATGGCTTGCCTGAATTTACATAGACACACCTGTGTTTACCAACAGACAGCAGAGTGACCACAACAGAAGCCACATCGTCCACAAAGCATCAAGTATTTGCTGTATGTGTGAGGAAGCCCCACACCCTCCCTGTAAAGTATCTGCTGTAGGCCCCTATGTAAAGACATGCAAGGAGCAGATGTATAAAGACAATGAATGGACAGACACTGGGGGCAACCTGGTGACCTAGCACTTGCCTAGTCACATGCCCAAAGCCTTGGGGTTCACCCTGCAGCACAGCAAAACACAAATACAAAGATAAAGCAAAACACAAACTCAAGTAACTGATGAACAGCACACGCCAGTTATTCTCGCCCAGGCTGAACCTGCAAGCACTCGCCACTGATGGCCACAGACCTCAGGACAAGGAAAATTGAATGCGTGTGTATGTGTGTGTGTGCGTGCCTGTGACAAAAGAAACACTGTTAGTAACTGGCGGAGCTGAGTAAAAGGCACACGGATGTGTAACAGTCCTTACACCCTGCACATCACAGGAGGAGCAGACACACTGCACAGCTACGATCCCACACAGAGAACACTCGTTAATGAAGCCCCAGCACCGCAGCTCACCCTGCCTGCACACACCCTGGGCCAGCCAGCGCTTGGCCTGCACACACCACAGACTGGTGCAGTAAGAACAGAGCAACTCCAGATCCAATCCCAGCTCAGCCCCGACGGTGCAGACTGAAGCACCAGAAAAACACAGAGCAGCTGCAGCTCTTGCGAAGCTGCGGGCTGGAGGGAACCCTGGCCATGTGCATGTTCCCCAGATCAGCTCTGAAATCCAGGCTCCCGAAGCTCCTGGTCCAGTGCTGACTACGGTGGGTGTGGTCCCTCCCCACAATCAGACCAGGCTTGTATTTTTTTACCTTTTAGTACTAACTTTATTTTTAGATTTTTTAAAAGAATTCCTGTTTTATCTACATTTATTTATGTTCTGTTTTCTAACTGCATTTCAATCAATTTTTCCTCCCTAAAATTCTTTACCATTTTCCTCTGCCCCTTTCCTCC